CTTCCTGACAGTGAGAACAATTAACCAGTGGAATAACCTGCCTCAAGAAGCGGTGACTGCACCAACACTGGAAGTTTTTAAGAAGAAATTGGACAGCCATTTGTCTGAAATGGTGTAGGGTTCCTGCCTGAGTAGGTGGTTGGACTAGATACTCCACGGTCCCTTCCAACATTATTATTATTATTATTAATTCAAGGGTGAAGAAAGTTTTAGAATGAAGTGTTCCTCTCTCACAAAAAGCCAGAATGATAAGAAGCACTTGAAATATATGTGCAAAAGATTTCCCAAGAATTAGACTATATTTTACTTTTCTGTGGTATAATGAGGGCTAAGAAAAAGTCTACATTTAATGTAAATGAAAATGTGTATCAATGGGGCTGTATACAACACCTGCAGCCCCACTTTCACTGGAGAAGGGGAAAGCTGGATGAACTGCAAGAAAAAAAATGAGACCTACCTATGTGAAAAAACAGGTTTAAAACCTGTAACAAACCTATCTGAAGCCATCTTGTTCATTTCCAGTTGCCACAGGATTAGGGGAGGAGAAAAGGGACGTTTTATGCTAGCCTTAACAATTCTCTGTCCTGTGGGAAGCAAGGTCATATCTGTTCCCTCAATTGAGCCTAATGTTAGAAAGCCTGCCAATTCCAGATTTCTGCCGATTATTGTCCAATTTTTGATTATTACAGAAATGGAAATCAGAGTGGCAGCCATATAAAATTAGACGACAATTGTACTTTTCTTTTTATTCACGATCTGGAGACATCCCAGTTGCCTTAAACTCTATAAAGGTCTTAGGTTTCCTATTTGTATTATTATTAATAATAATAATAATAATAGTAACAATAATAATAGCAAAGTTGGAAGGGACCTTGGAGATCATCTAGTCCAACCCCTGCTCAGGCAGGAAATACCATTACTATACCATTTCAGACAAATGGCTATCCAGTCTCTTCTTAAAAACTTCCAGTGTTGGAGCATTTACCGCTTCTGGAGGCAGGTTGTTCCACTGATTAATTCTTCTCACTGTCAGGAAGTTTCTCCTTAGTTCTGGGTTACTTCTCTCCTTGATTAGTTTCTACCTGTTGCTTCTTGTCCTGCCTTCAGGCGCTTTAGAAAATAGCTTGATTCCCTCTTCTTTGTGGCAGCCCCTGAGATATTGGAACACTGCTATCATGTCCCCCCTCGTCCTTCTCTTTGTTAAACTAGACATACCCAATTCCAACAACCGTTCCTTATATGTTTTAGCCTCCAATCCCCTAATCATCTTGCTCTTCTCTGTACTCTTTCTAGAGTCTCAACATCTTTTTTACATCGTGGTGACCAAAACTGGATGCAGTATTCCAAGTGTGGCCTTCCCAAGGCATTGTAAAGTGGTATTAATACTTCACGTGATCTTGATTCTATCCCTCTGTTAATGCAGCCTAGTACTGTGTTGGCCTTTTTGGCAGCTGCAGCACACTGCTGGCTCATATTTAGGTGATTGTCTACTAGGACTGTGAGGTTACTACTATTGAGCAAGGTGCCACCTATGCTGTACTTGTGCATTTGGTTTTTCTTGCCTAAATGTAGAACCTTGCTTTTTTCACCATTGAATTTCGTTTTGTTAGATAGTTTTGTTTGATAGATTGTTAGATAGATTTCCTGAGGGTGTTTGGTATTACCCTAAATAAAAAACACTTTTCCTCTTGTTCCCCCCCCCCCATGGTCTTTTAATGTTATATTCTCTATTCCATCTTTGCTTTCCATCCTTTTGCAATTCCACCTTTTCTCCAGTCACAGATGAGATGCTGTTTCCCCACTCATCATTTCTCCTCCAAGGAGCCTCGTCTATCGTGAGGGAAAATTTCTGGAACATCCACTAGTTTCAGCTTTCCCCCCACTTTGGAGCGGCTTTTTCATTCCCTCCAGCATCCTTTCCTTGGTTACAAGAAGTCACTCGGCCTTCCCGGTGTGGGAGAAAGAGCTTATTGTTTTTACAGAACTGTGAGAAGACATGCTGGCCTGTGAAGCAAATACATTGCATATATTTTAATCTCATGAGCATAGCTTGAAGCTTGAGAATTGCATCTAGGAAGGTCTCTGCTAGCTGAAAACCGGTCATAACCAGAATCTACTGATATGATAGCAACTTTAGAGACAACTAGCAACTAACAAACCATAAAAAGTAATTCGTAAATGAGGGCCGCGGACGTTAGAATTAAAGTAATGGGAGATGTAATCAGAGGCGGAGATAATTAGGAGCTTTGGATGGGTTGTGACAACATGATTACAGTATGATTGCTAAGGCGATGAAGAAAAGTTAGGAGGTAAGCGTGTAAGGGCAATGGAGAATATAAAGAACAAATATTGTAGATTTGGGGTGTGTATACTGTGTGCTTGCAGCAACAAGGAGCACCCCCTTTGCAAAGGGGTACAAATCATTGTTTTCTCTTGGAAGTTTTAGCTGGTGATTTTTATTTCAACTAGACTATGAATTCCATACAGATGATCCTGAGGCACCCGTAGCCAAGAATTGGATAAGGGCAGATTGTAGATACAGAAATAGAGAAATAAAAACATTTTCCCACTTGCAGCTTCCCTGCCCATGTCTTATCTTCCTCCCCTTCAGGCTGGAGTTCTCCACAATGGCAAGACACAAATTGTGTTTCCCAGAGAAGCTCCTGGTCCTCGTCTTCTGACTGCCTGGCTTTTTCTGAGAGGATTTGGGCCCCTTTTGAGACCTTCTCAGGGCAGCTGTTCTTGAGGGAAGTGAGTTTAAATCCACCAGGGAGATCTTTTTCTCCACAGAGGGTTCCTGGACAGGAAGATGGAGAAGCTGCGGCCTCTGGAGAAACCGAAGCCTTTCCTCCTACTCCCATGCCCATCATCCTTTCCCTCTCTCTCCCTCCCCTCAGAAGCTCATACTCTTTCCCGCCCGTTCGGAGAATCCTGGCATCTCGGGCAGAGTCCACCAGGTGGCTCTGTCAGCCTAAGGAGAAAACAGAGCATGCGCAGGACACTTCAGCCAGAGTTGTTGCCCGGGCCGTCCATGGGAAGATGCTGTTCTTTCTGTTCTCCCTCCACTGAGAGGCTTGGTGGTGGGCTTAGAGGCTGTGTGGGATTCTTGCGGAGACGCGGGTCCTGACGAGACTCCTGAATTCCGTGAGTGGCGGCTCTGCCCATGCAAAGGGGTCCCGCGCTGGAAGGGAGCGTGGAGACGGGCCAAGTCTTCCCTCAGAGTGGGAGTCCGCAGTCAGACAACACAAGTTATTACAATATAAGGAAGACCTCAATCATTCCTGTACACTCCCTTATTCCCTCCTTCAGAACATCACATTAGTGTACATGTTTCCCACGCTTGCACGAAATTTGCCCCTGAGGGAAACACTGAGTACAAAAGCAAGGTAGCAATACTTAGGCAAGGCTACACAATTTGTTTCTTTTTCTGGTTTTAGTGCTTTTAGGAGCACGAAGCCAAAAACACCAGCCTGAAGATGACGAATGGGACTTCGTCGAAACATCACCAAGAATAACCAAACCCTAGGTCTAGTAAATAAAAGTTTTAACAGTTTTAACTTTTGTATAATTTTATTCTCTATTTATTAATTTTAACATATATATATGTCCTTCCCCCGCATTATATATATTATAATGTGACATGATAGCAGTATTTGTATGTATATATATATATATATATATAAAGTCATTAACTTTAAGTCACTCCTTTCAGCTTGTCTTAATGGAGTAAAATCTTTTTCTTCTCCGAATGGTTTATCAAGTAGTTATAAGCCTCCCTTTTTATCAAGGATTTCTCGACTTTGTTACTGTCCTTTTAAGAGTTGCAGATTTTCTTGAAGCTCTTCTTTCAGTTGTGTTGAGAGAATATGTTTAAACCATCATAATAAAAGTTGATGTCAGGTTTATATTTCAAAATTGCAGTTAACTCCTCTACATTTTCAGTTGCTTGTAAAGTTGCCTCAGTAGTCTTTGCAAGTTTGCATCCGGCTTCTGGATTGTGTCATCAGTCCCAGCTGATTAGATTGTATCATAAATGTATCTTTGACACAAGCATCCAGCCCTCTCCTATTTCTCCTTGTACACTCCCATTCACTCCCTTGTCACTGATTCTTGGGTTGAGTGGGATCCTTTCCCCGCATTATATATATTATAATGTGACGTGATAGCAGTATTTGTATATATATATATATAAAGTTATTAAGTTTAAGTCACTCCTTTCAGCTTGTCTTAATGGAGTAAAATCTTTTTCTTCTCTGGATGGTTTATCACGTAGTTATAAGCCTTCCTTTTTATCAAGGATTTCTCAACTTTGTTACTGTCCTTTTAAGAGTTGCTGATTTTCTTGAAGCTCTTCTTTAAGTTGTGTTGAGAGAATATGTTTAAACCATCATAATAAAAGTTGACGTCAGGTTTATATTTCAAAATTGCAGTTAACTCCTCTACATTTTCAGTTGCTTGTAAAGTTGCCTCAGTAGTATTTGACCAAAGAGGGAGTCAAGATGGAGGAGCAAAATAAAAACCAAGTTTTCATCGGTAAGGGTTAGAGCTAGTTAGTGGGAAAAGCTTATATAAGATTACCAAGCGTTTGCATCCGGCTTCTGGACTGTGTCATCAGTCCCAGCTGATTAAATTGTATCCTAAATGTATCTTTGACACCAGCATCCAGCCCCCTCCTATTCCTCCTTTGTACACTCCCATTCACTCCCTTGTCACTGATTCTTGGGTTGAGTGGGATCCTTCCCCCCATTATATATATTATAATGTGACATGATAGCAGTATTTATATTCATATGAAGCTGCAAGTTTGTCTAAGCATCTATATGACTTCACTTGGACACCTGCACAATTCCCTGACACTCCCTTTCCTACCCTTTGAGCATAAGAACCTGAATTCCACATAGACTCCTCCAGAGGGCGCACTCTAACAAGCCCTTCCCCAATGGGCCACTGGAGGGCGAAAGTCACGGCTACTTTTCCAGAGGAGACTGCGAAGGAAGTGACGGCACTGAACCTTGCCACTCTAGGACGCCATACTCTCTCCTTAACCCCTGGAGCTCCGCGGGAGACGAAGAGTTGGCGGGAGAGTCTCGCGGGGGAAGAGATTCACACTTGTCTTAGGTAGGGAGGTGGGCTCTTCACGTGCTAAGGGAGGAGGGGGAGACCCGTGCCCAGCTCTCCTCTGGGTCCGGTCCCGGGTCCCATGTTACCCAGCCGCCCTCTCCATGCAGGGGGAAGCGGAGCTGCAGAGCAGCAGCAGAAGAACCGGGGATCCCGGGAAGGCGGCGGGGATCCTGGGTTGCCTTCCCGCCCCGTATCCGGGGAAGAAGAGCCCGAGTGGGGGGAGTGAGAGGAGGGCCGTCCTGGCGGAGGTCCAGCAGGAGAGGAGAGAAGCTGGGCGTGGAAGCAGGATTGTGTGAACTTGCTTGCGTGTCCCCAGAAGAAGAGAAAGGGAGCATCCACAACCAGGGTCATTTCCTGGCATTTCATTGGCAGGTTGTGTAAATCCTTCTTGGAGGGGGATGCGGAGGGCAGGTTTTCAAAAGGAAGCTTTTTCTTGTGACCAAGAGAAATATAAAGTGCTCCAAAATGCACGCCCCCCCCCCCGAAAGAACCCTATCTGCTGAATGCCATTGCAATCATTGACCAGCTCAGAAAAATCTTTCCTTCCGTGGGGATGACTGTTGTTCGGTGGTTAAATCCTCCACTTTCTAAGTCTTGAAACTCATTTTCTTTTTCCATCTCAGGTACACAAATTGGAAGTGATTTCTACATCTTTGCATAGACAAGATTATTTCTTAGCTAAAGGCAGGCGGCAACAGAATTTCAAGAAGCAGACTTATGAATGAAATGTCTTTAGGAGACCCAGAAGATTCCTTGTATCCATTTGGAGTTGCCTTACAGGATAGAGACAGGATGGAGACAGAACTTTTAGCAAGTGAAGCGACTGGAAAAAATCCTTCGACTGGAAAAAATCCTTCAGTTGTTCAGCCCTGCAGCTTCAGGAGCATCCAATACCAGGAGGCTGAGGGTCCCCGAGGACTTTGCAGCCGACTCCATGACATTTGTAGGCGATGGCTGAGACCAGAAAAGCACACCAAAACCCAGATGCTTGATCTGGTTGTTCTGGAGCAGCTGCTGATCCTTCTGCCCCCAGAGATGGAGAGCTGGGTGCGGGAGTGTGGAGCAGAGACCAGCTCCCAGGCGGTGGCTCTGTTGGAAGCCTTTGTTTTGAGTCAGGTGGAGGAACAAAAGGAGGAAATCAAGTCGCAGGTGGGAGCCCAAAAGGGGAAATAAAGGATGTGTTTGAATTCTTCACCCCTCCCTCTGAGACTTCTCTGGCATTTAAATTAAATGGAGACCTTTTCCTAATTCTTGTAGGACATTGCTCCATTTGTGTCTTATTCAGCCTCACTGATGGATATTGGGGATTTTGAGTTTTGCATTCAGAGAACAAGAATCAACTTAATGTTCTGGAGCAGTCCCCAACCTTTTGGGAACCAGGGACCAGTTCCGTGGTTTTTCCGTGGACCAGAGGGGGCATGGTTTTGTGGGCTGCCTGCATCCGGCGAATGTAGATTTGTTTGTGCGGACCGGTTACTGACATGCAGTGGCCCGGTACTGGTCCACAGACCGGGGGTTGGGGACCCCTGTTCTGGAGTGTTCATTAAATTTTTTTTTTCTTTCTATTTCAAGGCTGTTGTGAAGATCAGAGGTCCCGAGAGAAGACAGAATCCATCAAATCCTCTTCAGGAGATGATTTGGCGGAGGATCTCCCAGGAAGATCCAAGTCAGGATACTTCAGGAGGTAATTGAAAGTTTTCTCATTCCCTAGGGAAATCCCAGCTGACTCATTTTCTCTTCCATCTTCTTTTCTGTACAATACCTAGTCCTATTTTGATAATTATGGATGTTAAAATTCTGTCTCCCATGCAGTGAAAAATAGAATGAAGATAACGCCTGCTTATTATGCTGGAACTGAAACAATCATTGAACTTACAACTCAAGTAAGAGCAGCATAAAAAAAAAATAAGGCTATCATGGTGTGAGCATCTGTTAAGTAGAGAGTGATCGTTTTAGAAATTCTTTGACATGCAATTGTGCCAGACTGTTCAGTAATAACTGAAATAATCACATTAGCACAATACCATTTCAAGAAGGCTTTTCATTAAGGTTTTTAATGAAATGCTAAATGGATTGGAGTTCCTGAGAAGTGGGCTTTCCAAGGCCAATCTGCCAGTTTATTCTCTCCAGATGCAGAAAGTCTTGATGATAGACAGATAGACAGACAGATCAATCCAGAAGGAAGCTGGGGTTCCTTTCACTGAATGGCACTGAAAATGTATATCTGTGCTTGCAATGATTTAAACAATAAAACAGATCTTGTAAATTACCCTGGTCTTATTCTGTTGTGTTTTTCCTTTTTCAGGAGGGCCATGTGTCCTTTGAAGAGGTGGCTGTGTATTTCTCTGAGGAGGAGTGGTCTCGACTGGATCCTGACCAAAAAATGCTGCATTGGGAAGTCATGGTGGAAAATCATAGGAACGTGGCCTCTCTGGGTAAGGCCTTGCTACTGTCTACCCAGAATATTTGGGAAGACGTTCTGTAATTAGATGATATCAACTGTGTCTTTTTTATTATAATTTTATCAAATTTATAGGACCAAAAACAATACAAGTTTTGAAGAGGAAATGAAGGTAGAGTAAGGTGATAAATGAATTTTAAAAAAGTATAATAAAATGCAAAAAGGAAACAGAAGAACAGAAAAAGTAAGAAATGTTAAAATTTAGCTTCTTTCTCTAAGTTTACATAATAGTTTTCTCTTACATAATGGTTCCTTTCCAATCTTCAAACATAGATCAGAAGTACATTTTTTTCTTTTTTTTAGCAAGAAGTCCATCAGGGGTTTCCAATCATTAATCAATATACGGTGTTTCCTCTAATCCAGTGTTTCTCAACCTTGACAATTTTAAGGCATGTGGACTTCAACTCCCAGAATGCTGGCTGTGGAATTCTGGGAGTTGAAGTCCACATGCCTTAAAATTGTCAAGGTTGAGAAACACTGCTCTAATCAAAGAGGTCATTTAGTCATCTTTGATAATTCTGTCATCTCCATCAACCATCCACCATTGTAGTTATAGTAGAGTCCTTCCAGCTTTGGGGTTATAATAGTCTCACTGAAGTTATCATATGAAGTCAGAAGCAATCTTCTATGGCTGTTTTCCAGCTTCCTGTTCGTTAGCACTAACAAAGTGTTCTGATTTCAGTTGGATATTTATCTTTAAAGTTCTCTGTATTTGAATCCAAAATTTTCTGCCTTTTTTACCTGTCCACCAAAACGTGACAGTCTTGATGTTGCCCACATTTCCAGTATAAGTGTCAGGTACCTTTATACACTTCTGAAAATTTTTGTATTACATCAGTTTATAAAAGTTGCCTTTTAGGTTGTAACATAATGTAAATTTCACTCCTTTCAACCACATATTTTGTTACATCTGTATATTTTGAAAAACTTCTTTGTCGATTTTATCATACATTCTTTAACTGTTTATAGGTTTTAGCAATTACATGTTCATCCTTTCTACACAACCAAGATTCAAATTCTGTCTTAGGTTGTTGAATACCATAGGTCCTTTTATCTACCTTGAATCTTTCTGATGACAGTTTGAAAACCAGCGACAGCTATATCCTTCTGCCATCAATTGCTCTCTTGATTTCATTTGATATTCCCCCTTGCTCAAGTTCTAATGGCTCTTGACATGTTATTCATTATTTTTGCTGACTGCTTCTCTTCTGTAAAATGCTTATTATGTTGAGAGCAGTAATGGCACAGTCTGGATTTGCATCTGTTCCATATTCTCAATATGGCACTTCTAAGATCATTGTTTTAAAAGTCAACATTACCCAACACCCATGCCATCCAAATATTAGGTCATGCTTTTTAAATTCTAAAATTCTTTTATTGCTCAGCAACCCACATTCTTTCATCGAAAGCACACACCAGGTCTTCTTTCCTTAGCATCTTGGAGAATTTGATACTCAATCTGTGGCTTTTTTCCTTGCCATAAAAATCTATGTCTATTATTCTGCCACTGTTTAATCTTTTGGCTTCCCTGGGCTGCATTAAGTGAAGAGAAATTGTCTTGGTTCACCTATGAAATATATAATTAATGTATATAAATAACAAACTTTTTAAAAAATATTTTTATATCTTATGGGGCTGCATTACTAGCTGTCCACGTGTGGCCCACATGTGGCCTGCGAGGTGCAAGTTGGACCTATCTGGTTTAAATGACACATCAGTTGTCTAAAAAGGTATTTGAAACAGAAATATTATTCTACGCCAACATTAATTTTTATCATGGAAATTCTTCCTAACAATGACGTACGCATTTTCTCCTAGCTTAACATATCCTTCTTTCACTCCATGTTTTAAAAGAATTGTTTTGAAATAACACACAGTTCATGGGGAGAGGGTCCTTGATGCTCTCTGAGCTTGGTTGTTTTCTTGCAGATGTTTCATTATCCATACTAGATAACATCATCAGCACTAGTATTACAACACCGAGGTACAAATATTCTCCATTATCAGTTCATATTGGTCATAATAATACTGAACTTGCTGATTTTAATTTCTCAGTTTTAAAACCAATTTTTCCCATCAATTTTATTTCATCTTCCATTTTTGTCTTTTTTGTTAACAGCATCTTTAAATTATTAAAGCTCATTAAAATGCCAAATTCCTTAAATTTTTCCACATTGGTATTTCTACACCCTCCAGAGGATCTCCCAAATTCAACACGCGGCATGAAAAAAAGGGCATCCTTATGTTTTGTTTTTGTGTTTTACAAGGATTGTTAAATTTTGTGCTTTATGCAAAGATTAGATCGATTTTACCCATTTAAGGAAATTCTCTTCAAAGGACATGTCTTCTGAAAATTTAAATCAACACAGTCCAGTTCAAATTCTCAAACGCCTTCGCCGCATCTAAGAAGATTGGTGCAGCTTGTTTTTAATTATTTTCAAACTGCCTGCAGTTTGAACTTTCCCCCTTAACTTATTATCATTTTTATTTCTCCTTTCTTTGAAGATAATAATGGACAAGAAAATGAAAATTCCCAAGAACCATTCCGAGGGATGACTCGTGGAGACAGACTGGAGAAGCCTGCAAATCAAATGGAAGTAGAGAGACATGAGAGAAACCAGTCAAATAATTGGAATTGGGAAAGTTCTTCCATTGATGCTCCAATGCAGGACTTTCTTGCCCAACAAGGAAAAATAAAGAAAAAATGCATTACGAAAAACGTAAAACTGTTCAAAGACAAATTAGATGTGAATGAACACGATCCAACCCAAACCAAAGGAGAAAGTAAAATATGCAGAGGCAATGGAAAAAAATCGACTCTTTCTTGTGAAAAGGAGTCCTTTACATCTCAGAAAAGGATCCATGTAGGAGAGAAGCCATATACATGTTTGGAATGTGGAAAGAGCTTCAGAAGAAGCAGTCATCTTACTTCCCATAAATGGATCCACACAGGGGAGAGGCCATATAACTGTATGGAGTGTGGAAAGGGCTTCAGTGAAAGGAGTTATTTTATTTCCCATACCAGGATCCACACAGGGGAGAAGCCATATAAATGCCCTGAATGTGGAAAGGGCTTTATTAAGAGCAGTTATCTTACCTCCCATAAAAGAGTCCACACAGAGGAGAAGCCGTATAAGTGCACGGAGTGTGAAAAGAGTTTCAGAGAGAACAGTTCCCTTAGATGTCATAAAAGGATCCACACAGGAGAGAAGCCATATCAATGCATGGAGTGTGGAAAGACCTTTGCTCATAGCAATGGTCTTACTTCCCATAAAAGGATCCACACAGGAGAGAAGCCATATCAGTGCATGGAGTGTGGAAAGGCCTTTGCTCATAGCAATGGTCTTACTTCCCATAAAAGGATCCACACAGGAGAGAAGCCCTATAAATGCATGGAGTGTGGAAAGAGCTTCACTTTTAGTCATTCTCTTACTATGCATTACCGGATCCATACAGGGGAAAAGCCATATAAGTGCACAAAGTGTGGAAAGAGCTTCCGTGGAAATTCGTCTCTTACTGTTCATAAAAGGATCCACACAGGAGAGAAGCCCTATAAATGCATTGAATGTGGAAAGAGCTTCCCTAAGAGCAGTGAACTTATTTTCCATAAAAAGATCCACACGGGGGAGAAGCCACATAAATGCATGGAGTGTGGGAAGAGCTTTATTAAGAACTCCCAACTTATTTACCATAGTAGGATACATACCGGGGAGAAGCCTTTTAAATGCATGGAATGTGGAAAGAGTTTTTCTATGAACAGTTATCTTAATACCCATAAAAAGATCCACATAGGGGAAAAGCCTCATAAGTGTATGGTGTGTGGAAAAGATTTTATGACAAGCAGTAATTTTAACTCTCATAAAAGGATCCACAAACTATAGAAGCCATACAAGTCTGTGAAATATGGGAAAATTTCAAGAGAACCAATGACCAAATCTTCCATATACGGGTACATTTGGGTGAGAATCTGTTTCATGTTCCATATACATGTTTAATGTTTAAATGTTCGGTTTAGTTTTTGAAATATATGCATTTCCTAATTACATTTACTGAATTAGGAAAGGGTTTTTTTCAGTCTTACCTTCACAATGTGAAGCCCAAGAGAGATGAAGTTACTAATGGAAACCAAATTCTAGGCATGTGATGTTTTAATTATGAACCGTGGATTTTTGTAGCTACTGTCATTTGAAGGTCACCAATGCCATTTCAGATAAATAAGGGAACATATTTTTTTCTTCATGTTTATCCCCTTTTGGATTGGATCATAATAAAGCATAAATCCCCAATAAAATTTTAATTTTAGTTTTTGAGAGCAAGCATAGGGCTTATTTAGCAAAATATCATTCCACGCATGCTATGGGAAAGGCTTAATTCAGGAAAGACTTGCAAAAGTTATAGCTAAATATAAATGACCAAAGTAAGTGTGATACTAAAGAAGATATTTTATGAATAGAGCGGTTTTAGTAGCAATTGGTTTTCTGTTAAATTTTGTATAGCTGTCAGTAGAAATTATATAATGAATTGTAAGATGATGAAATGGGAAATGTCTAAATGACAAGAATGTTCAAAAATTTAACATCTGGTGACAGTGCAACATCAGATCCTCTAACTCAGGGGAGTCAAACTGCCGGCCCACGGCCCGGATGCGTCATGCGGAAGCCTCCCCCACCCCATTGCCGGCAATGGGAAAACAGTCCCGATACATCACATGACATCAAGTGACGTCGCAAGTTTGACATGTCTGCTCTAACTTATACTTAATGGTACAAAAACTCCACTGGATTTGCAATCTCCAGCTCAGTCTATTCAGTTTGGGCAATGGACTCTTCTGAGAATTATTAAGTATTAAGTATTAAGCAATTGGTTTGCTGTTAAACTTTGTATAGCTCTGGGAAATTATCTGGATGAGGAATGTTAAATTTACACAAGCCCAGAACTTAAGGGAAAATTTTTATAAAATGTTTTATAGATGGCACCTTGATCCACAAAGAATGTCTGTTATGTATCCTGACTTACAGCCTAAATGTTGGAGATGTGGTTGTCTGGACGCTACTTATTATCATATTTGGTGGTCGTGTAAAAATATAAAAGCTTTTTGGATTAAGATATGGTGGAATATTCAAAGAATTTTTAGAAAGAGGGTAAAATTTACTCCACAACTGTTTTTGTTAGGAATTGCTATTGACTGTGATGCTAAGGAGGTTATATTGATGTTGAATTTGATTACAGCTGCAAGGCTGTTAGTAGGGCAATATTGGAAGAAGGAATCTTTGCCTACTTTGCAAGAGTGGTTTTTTTAAAGTTTCTTACTTGGCGGAAATGGCAAAGATTTCGGCTTTCTTAAAGGAGCAATCACAAGAGAAATTTTTTGCCGTATGGGAAAAATGGATAAATTTCGCACAATATAAATTGGATATAAAAAAATATCATTTAGCTTTTTTATAACTTGTATACAAATTTTGATATTTCATAGATTGTATTTTTTCTCTTTTTTTCTTCTTTTTTATTTCTTTTCTCTTTTCTTCTTTTTTAAGTATCTTTTCTTTTTAATGTTTATGCTTTTTTTGTTATATATATTTTATTGTTAACTAGCTTATAAGTTGTTTAATCTTTCTTAGGATTTTTATAATTGTAGTTAAGCCTATATTCAGCTTTGGGAAGCTCGGGGGGGATGGGTGGGGTGGTTTGGGAGGGGTTGAGGGTTGTTTTATTTTTTGTTGTTCTTTTTGTTTTTTGTAAAAAACTTTTTAAAAAATTCTTAATAAAAAAAACTTTGTATAGCTGTCAGTAGAAATTATATAATGAATTGTAAGATGTTGAAATGGGAAATGTCTAAATGACAAGAATGTTCAAAAATTTAACATCTGGTGACAGTGCAGCATCAGATCCTCTAACTCAGGGGTGTCAAACTGCCGGCCCACGGGCCAGACGCATCATGCGGAAGCCTCGCCCACCCCATTGCCGGCAATGGGAAAACAGTCCCGATATATCACATGACATCAAGTGACATCGCAGATTTGACGTGTCTGCTCTAACTTATACTTAATGGTACAAAAACCCCACTGGATTTGCAATCTCCAGCTCAGTCTATTCAGTTTGGGCAAGGGACTCTTCTGAGAACGTATCCCAGTAGTAAGCAGGAAAATTATTTTTCTAGGAGGGATGTGATCAGGCAGATATTTAATAGGTGTTGCTTCCACAAGAAGCAGAGGGAGCTGCATCTCCATGATGCATCTCTTCAGGACAAAATTTCTGAAATCTTTCTTCCTCTATAACAGAAATTAGAATGGTAATTTCCTCTGGAGTGCGAGGATAGTAAAAAAATAATCCAACTTTTCAATCCACAGTGCAAAAGAGCGTAGTAAACCATTATGACTGCAGAAGCAGGGAACTTTTTTTTCGGTCAAAGTCTTCTCGTGATGTTAGAGATTAATCACATAGATAATATCTCAGGGGCTGCCACAAAGAAGAGGGAGTCAAGCTATTTTCCAAAGCACCTGAAAGCAGGACAAGAAGCGACGGATGGAAACTAACCAAAGAGAGAAGCAACCTAGAACTAAGGAGAAACTTCCTGACAGTGAGAACAATTAACCAGTGGAATAACCTGCCTCAAGAAGCGGTGACTGCACCAACACTGGAAGTTTTTAAGAAGAAATTGGACAGCCATTTGTCTGAAACGGTGTAGGGTTCCTGCCTGAGTAGGTGGTTGGACTAGATACTCTACGGTCCCTTCCAACATTATTATTATTATTATTATTATTATTATTATTATTATTATTATTATTATCAATCATCGCACAGTCAGCCAGATGTTCAGACTGGATTTGGCATTTTGTCTACCTATCGAGTCCTTACCCAGGACCTGGGATAGGCATTATTATTATTATTATTAATTCAAGGGTGAAGAAAGTTTTAGAATGAAGTGTTCTTCTCTCACAAAAAGCCAGAATGATAAGAAGCACTTGAAATATATGTGCAAAAGATTTCCCAAGAATTAGACTATATTTTACTTTTCTGTGGTGTAATGAGGGCTAAGAAAAAGTCTACATTTAATGTAAATGAAAATGTGTATACAACACCTGCAGCTCCACTTTCACTGGAGAAGGGGAAAGCTGGATGAACTGCAAGAAAAAAAATGAGACCTACCTATGTGAAAAAACAGGTTTAAAATCTGTAACAAACCTGTCTGAAGCCATCTTGTTCATTTCCAGTTGCCACAGGATTAGGGGAGGAGAAAAGGGACGTTTTATGCTAGCCTTAACAATTCTCTGTTCTGTGGGAACCAAGGTCATATCTGTTCCCTCAGTTGAGCCTAATGTTAGAAAGCCCGCCAATTCCAGATTTCTGCTGATTATTGTCCAATTTTTGATTATTACAGAAATGGAAATCAGAGTGGCAGCCATATAAAATTAGACGACAATTGTACTTTTCTTTTTATTCACGATCTGGAGACATCCCAGTTGCCTTAAACTCTACAAAGGTCTTAGGTTTCCTATTTGTATTATTAATAATAATAGTAATAATAATAATAATTTTGACTTTGTATGCATTTGTCCTTAAGGCTTGGTCTTGTGCAGCCAGAATTAGGTCTTGTGACCGAGGGACTAATTCTGGCTGCACAAGACCAAGCCTTAAGGACAAATGCATACAAAGTCAAAATTGAGAAGACAGCAACAGACAGTAAGTGCCGCCTATGCAAAGAAGCTGAAGAAACAGTGGACCACTTGGTAAGCTGTTGCAAGAAGATTGCACAGACTGATTACAAGCAGCGGCATGACAAAGTAGCAACAATGGTGCATTGGAAGATCTGCAAAAAATATCATTTGCCTGTAAGCAAAAACTGGTGGGATCATAAAATAGAGAAAGTCATAGAAAATGATAAAATTAAACTGCTCTGGGACTTCAGAATTCAAACAGACAAGCACCTGCAACATAACATCCCAGACTTAACAATTGTCGATAAGAAAGACAAAAAAGTCTGGATAGTGGACGTGGCAGTGCCTGGAGATAGCAGAATAGAAGAGAAAGAACTGGAGAAGATAACAAAATACAAAGACCTACAAATAGAAATAGAAAGACTGTGGCAAAAGCAAGCAAGGGTAGTACCAATAGTCATAGGCTCCTTGGGCGCAATCCCAAAACAACTGGAGCACCACTTGAACACCATTGGCATTGACAAATTTGCTATTAGTCAATTGCAAAAGGCGGCCTTATTAGGAACTGCTTCCATCCTGCGACGATACCTGTAATACCATCAAACATCCACATCTGCCTATCCCAGGTCCTGGGTAAGGACTCGATAGGTAGACAAAATGCCAAATCCAGGCTGAACTGTGCGATGAATGATAATAATAATAATAGCAAAGTTGGAAGGGACCTTGGAGATCATCTAGTCCAACCCCCTGCTCAGGCAGGAAATACCATTACTATACCATTTCAGACAAATGGCTATCCAGTCTCTTCTTAAAAACTTCCAGTATTGGAGCATTTACCGCTTCTGGAGGCAGGTTGTTCCACTGATTAATTCTTCTCACTGTCAGGAAGTTTCTCCTTAGTTCTGGGTTACTTCTCTCCTTGATTAGTTTCCACCTGTTGCTTCTTGTCCTGCCTTCAGGCGCTTTGGAAAATAGCTTGATTCCCTCTTCTTTGTGGCAGCCCCTGAGATATTGGAACACTGCTATCATGTCCCCCCTCGTCCTTCTCTTTGTTAAACTAGACATACCCAATTCTAGCAACCGTTCCTTATATGTTTTAGTCTCCAATCCCCTAATCATCTTTGTTGCTCTTCTCTATACTCTTTCTAGAGTGTCAACATCTTTTTTACATCGTGGTGACCAAAACTGGATGCAGTATTCCAAGTGTGGCCTTCCCAAGGCATTGTAAAGTGGTATTAATACTTCACGTGATCTTGATTCTATCCCTCTGTTAATGCAGCCTAGCACTGTGTTGGCCTTTTTGGCAGCTGCAGCACACTGCTGGCTCATATTTAGGTGATTGTCTACTAGGACTCTGAGGTTACTACTATTAAGCAAGGTGCCACCTATGCTGTACTTGTGCATTTGGTTTTTCTTGCCTAAATGTAGAACCTTGCTTTTTTCACCATTGAATTTCGTTTTGTTAGATAGTTTTGTTTGATAGATTGTTAGATAGATTTCCTGAGGGTGTTTGGTATTACCCTAAATAAAAAACACTTTTCCTCTTGTTTCCCCCCCCCAATGGTCTTTTAATGTTATATTCTCTATTCCATGTTTGCTTTCCATCCTTTTGCAATTCCACCTTTTCTCCAGTCACAGATGAGATGCTGTTTCCCCACTCATCATTTCTCCTCCAAGGAGCTAGTTTCAGCTTTCCCCCCACTTTGGAGCGGCTTTTTCATTCCCTCCAGCATCCTTTCCTTGGTTACAAGAAGTCACTCGGCCTTCCGGCCGGTGTGGGAGAAAGAGCTTATTGTTTTTACAGAACTGTGAGAAGACATGCTGGACTGTGAAGCAGATACATTGCATATATTTTAATCTCATGAGCATAGCTTGAAGCTTGAGAATTGCATCTAGGAAGGTCTCTGCTAGCTGAAAACCGGTCCTAACCAGAATCTGATATGATAGCACCTTTGGAGACAACTAGCAACTAACAAACCATAAAAAGTAATTCGTAAATGAGGGCCGCGGACGTTAGAATTAAAGTAATGGGAGATGTAATCAGGGGCGGAGATAATTAGGAGCTTTGGATGGGTTGTGACAACATGATTACAGTATGATTGCTAAGGCGATGAAGAAAAGTTAGGAGGTAAACGTGTAATGGCAATGGAGAATATAAAGAACAAATATTGTAGATTTGGGGTGAGTATACTGTGTGCTTGCAGCAACAAGGAGCACCCCCTTTGCAAAGGGGTACAAATCATTGTTTTCTCTTGGAAGTTTTAGCTGGTGATTTTTATTTCAACTAGACTATGAATTCCATACAGGTGATCCTGAGGCACCCGTAGCCAAGAATTGGACAAGGGCAGATTGTAGATACAGAAATAGAGAAATAAAAACATTTTCCTACTTCCGGCTTCCCTGCCCATGTCTTATCTTCCTCCCCTTCAGGCTGGAGTTCGCCACAATGGCAAGACACAAATTGTGTTTCCCAGAGAAGCTCCTGGTCCTCGTTTTCTGACTGCCTGGCTTTTTCTGAGAGGATTTTGGCCCCTTTTGAGACCTTCTCAGGGCAGCTGTTCTTGAGGGAAGCGAGTTAAAATCCTCCAGGGAGATCTTTTTCTCCACAGAGGGTTCCTGGACAGGAAGATGGAGAAGCTGCGGCCTCTAGAGACACTGACGCCTTTCCTCCTACCTTTCCTCCTACTCCCATGCCCATCATCCTTTCCTTCTCCCTCCCTCCCGTCAGAAGCTCTTTCTCTTTCCCGTCCGTTCGGAGAATCCTGGCATCTCAGGCAGAGTCCACCAGGGGGCGCTGTCAGACTAAAAAAACAGAACATGCGCGGGACACTTCAGCCAGAGTTGTTGCCCGGGGCGTCCGTGGGAAGAGGCTGTTCTTTCTGTTCTCTCCCTCCCTCCGCTGAGAGGCTTTGCGGGGGGCGCAGAGCCTGTGTGGGATTCTTGTGGAGACGCTGGTGCCGACGAGACTCCTGAATTCCGTGAGTGGCAGCTCTGTCCGTGCAAAGGGGTCCCGCGCTGGAAGGGAGCGTGGAGACGGGCCAAGTCTTCCCCCGAGGTGGGAGTCCGCGGTCCCATGTTCCCCTGCCGCCCTTTCCCATGCAGGAACCAGGCAAGGGGGCGGGGGAGCAAAGGAGAGAAATGGGGGTCGCCAGAAGGGAGGGGCCGTTTCCCCCATTTCCTGGGGGAGCCTCTGCATGGGGGGGAGGGGGAGGCTGGCCGGATGTTTCCCTGCCGGCTCTGGGTGCAAGTTCGGGGCCCCGGGTGGGAGGACTGGGGTGCTGCTTCCCCGCCTTTCCCGCGACCGGGCAAAGGGGCTCTGCCGGCAGACAAAGAAGGGAGAGGCTGTAAGGAAGGAGACGCAAGTGGAGCTAAGACGCAGTATTTGCATTCAGTGCCCGGTAAATAATAATAATAATAGTAGTAGTAGTAGTAGTAGTAAAGTTGGAAGGGACCTTGGAAGTCATCTAGTCCAACCCCCTGCTCAGGCAGGAAATCCTATACCATTTCGGACAAATGGCTGTCCAGTCTCTTCTTAAAAACTTCCAGTGTTGGAGCATGCACCGTTTCTGGAGGCAGGTTGTTCCACTGGTTAATTGTTCTAACTGTCAGGAAGTTTCTCATTAGTTCTAGGTTGCTTCTCTCCTTGATTAGTTTGGGCCGGTGTCTCCCAAACCTCTTTCAAGCCTGGGAGTTGAAGTCCATGCTTGTCTTCGTTTGTCCGTCTTTGGAAAAGCGTGGATTAGGCTAAGAAGTGGAGGACGTGTTTGTCAGAGTTGCATGAATCAGAAGCTCATGTTAGGCTGTCAGTGGTTCATTCGTTTGGCTGTTCATCCTCTGTGTATGGGATGGTGGCTTGTTAACTCAGGCTTCCTAAGTTCCACAAAGGATGCTTAATGGGGTCCTGCTGTCTAAACCTTTAGCATTCATTCAAACGTTGATTTATTTTCTCATGAAATCGATTTATATAGATCTCATCTCAATTACTGTTTTGTGACCTGAGACATTTATTGTTTTAAGGAGTGCTCTTAACTCTGACTGACTTTTGAAATCATTAAAATAAATAACTAGAAAATAGAAATCCAAAATATGTTTTAAATGTAGTTGTATTTTGAGTCTTTGATAGAAGTTGATCAAGAAGGTTCTTCAGAATATGCCCCAGCTGCACAGAAGTTAAAGTATCTAATAAGATTTCTCACTTTCTTGCCTGACATTAAACAAATAAACAAACTTTATTGTCATTGTATTGTATTGACGTTAGTGGTTTTATAAGATTTTCTTCCTGTAAATTTTTCTTTCAGGGAGCATTCTGTAGTTAAATTATTCACCCTGTCTTCCTGATCCTTTGATATTTCGTTTTGGATATATAAGCTGCAAATGTTTTGAAAGGTCACTGGGAAAACTTGAGAAATCATAAAAATCCAGTCATGAGAACTCACGCAGAAGCTTCTTAAAGAAATAGTACTTCATTTTTGATCAAAATAAGTCCAGGGTGGGAACACAGTCTGAACACTGGCAGCAGTTGCATTCAGAAATGCCACACCTTACAAATTTAGTATGCATTGCTTTATAAACTTTGTTAGCCAATGAAAATCAGACAATACAGTTATTACAATATAAAGAAGACCTCAATCATTCCTGTACACTCCCTTATTCCCTCCTTCAGCACATCACATTAGTGTACGTGTTTCCCAGGTTTGCATGAAATTTGTCCCTGAGGGAAACGCTGATTACAAGAGCGAGATAGCAATATTTAGGCAAGGCTACACAATTTGTTTCTTTTTCTGGTTTCAGTTACAGAACCCTTTAGTTTCATGCTTCTTCTGGAGACAAAGTAAACTAGGATCAGATCCTCCACGCTTAAGAGGGTGGGTGAACATCATTTTAAGGTGTGTTCTTTCAAGCCTTGAGTTTTCTGTGAACTTTGCCTATATGGTTGGAGTCAGGGCAAATTGTTTGAAGCAGCCTTTGTGTTATAGTATGACTTTGTTCCCAAAAAGCAAGTGCTGAAGTGAGCATCCTAAACCAGGATCATTTCTTTTGCATTTCATTTGATGTGAACTCAATCTTCCTGCCATTGTCAGGATGTTGTTCCTTCCCGGGATTATTTCAAGAGTGTGGAACATCCTTAATGAATGTCTAATGTCTTAGTATGAAGCAGAAGAAACGTGAAAAAAGTCTGCATTCCATTCCAGTTTCTTAAGCTCCTTGACTTCTGGCCTCTTTATGAACTCTAAGTGTAGGGTATATGTAGATCTTAAATTTGAAAAAAAGCTAGCCTACCCTTCAGGGAAAAAAGAAATAGAAAATCCTCCTAATATAAAACATAAAATATTCCATGTCTTGATGGAAGCTAGGACCATATTTTGCAAAACACTTGATGAACAGGCAGACACACAAGTACCCAGAAGATCCATTTGCTCAATACTACTGCAGTCCTTTACCAGCTTCCCTTTCATGAGGAGGAATGTTGTTCAATGGTTAAGCCCACCACCTTCTCATTTTTTGAATGTATTTCTTTTTCCATCTCAGATACAGAAATTAGATTCATCTCAAAAACCTTCCTAGCAACAAAAAGCTAACTCTTGGGTGATGAGCCTGGATAGCTTTTGTGGTCAGTCCTGCAGTTACCGGAATAGTCCTATGAATTGAAAGGTGTTTGGAGATCCGCAAGATTCCTCTGACCTATGTGGAATTTCCTTGCAGGACACACAAAGGATGCAGAAACAACTGTTAGCAAGTGAGGGAATTGGAAAAGGCCCCTCTGCTGTTGAGCCTGGTGGCTGTGGGAAGATCTGGGCAAAAACTGTGCAGAAGATGCTGGAGGAGAAAACCCTCATCTGTTCAGCGATTGAGCCCTCGAACTTCAGAAACATCCAATACAAGGAGACTGAAGGTCCCCGAGGACTTTGCAGCCGGCTCCACAACTTTTATAGTCAATGGCTGAGGTTAGAAAAGCACACTAAAACCCAAATGTTGGACCTTGTTGTTTTGGAGCAGCTCCTGGCCCTTCTGCCCCAGCAGATGTCAAACTGGTTGCGGGAGTGTGGAGCAGAGACCAGCTCCCAAGCGGTGGCCCTGGCGGAAGGCTTCCTCATGAGTCAGGCAGAAGAGCAGAAGGAGCAAGTCGAATTGCAGGTGAGAGACCTCCACCTTGGAAGTCCAGAAGAGAATAAAGAATGTGTTTGAATATTTCACCCCTCCCTTCCCTACTTCTCTGCTCTTTGTAATATGTGGAGGTGTTTCATTAGTTCTTGCAAGACATTGTTCCATTATCCATTCTAGAAGATAGACTTGAGACAGTTGTTCCTTTCGTACATTCTGGGCTCATTGATAAACATGGTGGCATTGAAATTGTTTTTAGAGAACAAAAATCCGCTTCATGTTTTGTGAGGACTTATTTTTCTTTTCTTTTGCCTCCAATTTCAAGTCTTTCACTCTGCAAACCAGAGATCCTATGAGGAATCTATCAAATCCCCTTCAGGAGCTGTTTTCCAGGAAGATCTATCAGGAATCTGCAACTCAGGACATCTCAGATGGTAATCAAAAGTCCATCCATTCCCAAGAGAGGTCCCAGCTGTCTTACATTCTCTGTCTCTTCTCTTCTCTAGAATGCTCCTGCCGTTTTGTTAATTATCCATATCTGTCTCCCTCACAGGGAAGGATAGAACGAATTTGACTCCTTTTTATGGTGGTGCTGAAAGAGCGGTTGAAGTTCCAATTCAAGTGAGAGGAATAATAAAACATAAAATGTTCACTGTTAATGTTTTGCTGAATAGTCATCCTATTACTAATTCTTTGGCACGGAATTGTGCAAGGGTATTCAATAATAATGGAAAGAATCACATTGGGACCTTACATTTTCTAAATTGCCCTGTTTATAACCAATGATAAGAAAAATAATGGCACCAGGTTAAAAGACGAAGCAGATGGTTAAAACCCAAAGAGGGAGGGCAGATCAAGGCCCTTCAGCCTTTGGAGGAATTTCTAATAGTCCGATTTGTGCCAGGAATTTGGGGCCAAACATTCCAGCTGGAAGGAATAAGAAATGGTCTTCTCAAGCAGCTTTCCCTTTTTCAAGTATTGTGTTGGGGTAGAAGGAGTGGATTCCTTGTAGTCTGAGGAGCAGCAGAAACAGGGCTTGTGTGTCTTTGTCTGTTGATGATACCCCTGTAAATCCCTGGGTGCCTCTCAGATAACTTTAATGAAAGTTTTGAGCATGGATAGGATTTTGTGTTCTGGGGACACCACAAGCCTTTTACTTAAATGGTAAAAAGAATCCCTCCACCTGCATTTTCTTCTGCAAAAACTGGGTGTATGGGAGTGAGTGATAGGTGGGGGTTCCAAGGTCCATATCAGTTGATGTTCTCCAGATGCTGAAACTCTTGCTGATGGATGGGGATAGATAGACAGACAGACAGACCCCGATGAAAAGTGGGATTCATTTAATTGAATGACCTGAAATGTATATCTTTGCTTATAATTTTTTATTTTATTTTTATTTTTAAAATTTATAAGCCGCCCCACTCCCGAAGGACTCTGGGCAGCTAACAATAAAAAACACATAAAACATAACAAAACAACAATACAAAAACAATCATCCAGGGGTAAGGTTTTATAAACCCCAGGCCTGTCGGAAAAGCCAGGTCTTAAATAGCTTACGGAAGACCAACAGGGTGGGAGCGGTCCTAATCTCCAGGGGGAGCTGATTCCAAAGCGTGGGCGCCATCACAGAGAAGGCCCTCCTCCGCGGCCCCGCCAAATGGCACTGCTTGGCCGACGGGGCCTGAAGGAGGCCCAGCCTGTGGGATCTAACTGGACGTAGGGAACTATTTAAGTGATTAACTAATCACTTAAACAATAGGACAAAGCTTGAAAATTCTCCTGATTTTTCTTCTTTCTTCTTATTCAGCAGGGTCTTATGTCCTTCAAGGAGGTGGCTGTATATTTCTCCGATGAGGAGTGGTCTCAGCTGGATGCTTACCAAAAAGCGCTGCATCGGGAAGTCATGCTGGAAAATCATAGGAACGTAGCGTCTTCGGGTAAGAATGTGCTATTCCCCAGACCGAGTCTTCGGAAGACATTCTGTAATTAGCTATATTAGCACTTTCTTTTTATTATATTATTATAATTTTATTAAAGGAATTTTATCAGAATAAAAACAATACAAATTTTGAAGAGGAAACAAAGAAGATAGAGTAATGTGATTAGTGAATAAGAAAAAAGTATAATACAATTGAAGAGAAAAGACAAAATAATGTTATAATTTGTGCCCTCTTTCTAAGGTTACATCGTTGTTTCCTCCTTTATATAATTTATCCTTTCCAATCTTCAACTAAAGTTTGATAAAAAGTTCATTTTTCTTTTTTGTTTTTTTTTTAGTAAAAAGTCCATCAGTGGTTTCCAATCACTAATATAGATATTGTCCTTTCTTTAATCAGAGTCAATTTAATTAGCATTGAGAATTCTATCATCTTCCCTAACCATTCCACCATAACCATTCTAGTTATGTAGACCCCTTCCAGCTTTTTGTGTATAATAGTTTTATTATGGGTATCATACTCAGAAACAATCTTCAATGACTGTTGATTAGTGCCAAGATAAAGTGTTCCCATTTCAGCTGGATATTAATCTTTAAAGTTCTCTGTATCACTGAATATCGTTGACCCTAAACTTTTCTAGCTTTTCTACAAGTCCACCAGAGCACGGCAAAATGATCCTTTATCTTGTCCACATTGCCAATATAAGCTTGAGATACATTTATACATTTCTGAATTTTTTTCTGTTCATTTTCACATTCCTCAGCCTGTTTAGAGGTTTTAGCAATTACACATTCATCTTTTCTACACAAGTAAGATTCAAATTCTGCTTTATGTTGTTGAATATTATAGTTCCCTTTACCTGGAATCTTTCTGATAATTTGAAAACTACTGACAATTACAGTGCATTCAGAAAGTATTCAAACATCCCTCACTTTTGCCAATTTAGTTTTGCTGCAGTCTGATTCTACAGTTGTTGAAATTCATTTACTTTGCCATTAATCTACACGCAGTACCCATAATGACAAAGTGAAAACAGTATTTTAGAAATGTTTGTGAATTGATGAAAAAGCAAAAACTAAAATATCACACATTGGTGTAAGTATTCAGACCCTTCACTCACTACTTTGTTGAAGCACTTTTGGCAGTAACTCCAGTCTCAAGTATTTTTTGGGTATGATGCAATTAGCTTTGCACACTTGGATGGGGGGATTTTCTGCCATTCTTCCTTGCAAATCCTCTCAAGCTCAGTCAGGTTGGATGGCGGCCATCGGTGGACAGCCATTTTCAGGTCCCTCCAGTGATGTTGAATAGCTTTCAAGTCAGGGCTCTGGTTGAGCTACTCTAGGATATTCATAGAGTTGTCCTGTGTTGTCTTTGTTGTGTGCTTAGGATCATTGTCATGTTGGAAAGTGAACCTTCGGCCCAGGTTTTCTTTGAGGATATATCCCTGTACTTTGCTCCATTCATCTTTTCCTCAATTCTGACTAGTCTCGGATGCCAAAAAAACATCCCCACAGCTTGATGCTGCTGTTGTGGAAAAACCACAATACTTACATCAGAAGACAAGACCACGAAGGGCTGGAGAAAGCAGGCTTTATTTGTGCACAGTGGTTCAGAGCATTAGCATGACAAATTCTGAACTCTGAGTTACTCCCAGGGTGTCATTTTTATACAGCTTGCCGCCCACGCTTAACTGAATGGATGACTTCTTATGTACCTTTAACACACTAAAAGAGAGAAGTTCATATCTTGAGACCACACGCATAGGAAAAAGGGAAGTTTATACAATGTGCAGAGAACCACACTCCCCTACACATGTAATATCTTACACCAATTGTGACTTTCAGTTGGCACTTCTTGTAAAAATGTTTCTTCATAGAATTGCAGACAGGTCATCACACTCAGCCAGTTTATAGTATTAGTTAATGCTTTCAAAACATCACCTCTGTTAATTAAAGTATAATTCAAAAGTACTTTATCAATTCTCTTAATGGCAATTTTCCATCTACCTCACTGCCACCACCATGCTTTGCTGTTGGGATGGTATTGGGCAGGCGATGAGCAGTGTCTGGTTTCTTCCAGACATAACGTTTAGAGTCGAGGCCAAACAATTCAGTTTTGGTTTCATCAGACCACATAGTCTTGTTCCTCACAGTTTGAGAGTCCTTGAGGTACTTTTTTGCAAACTCCAAGTGGGCTTTCATGTGTTTTGCACTGAGGAGAGGCTTCCATCTAGCCACTCTGCCATAAAGCCCAGATCGGTAGAGGGCTACAGTGATGGTTGTCCTTCTGGAACGCTGTCCCATCTCCACACATGATCTCTGGAGCTCATTCAGAGTGACCATCGTGTTCTTAGTCACCTCTCTTATTATAGCCCTTCTCACCGATTGCTCAGTTTGACTGGGCAACCAGCTCTTGAAAGAGTCCTGGTTGTGTCAAACTTGTTCCATTTGAGAATTATGGAGGCCATTTATAGTAGGAACCTTCAGTGCAGCAGAAATTTTATTGTAGCTTTCTCCAGATCTGTGCCTTGCAATAATCCTGTCTCTGCACTCTGCAGGCAGTTCCTTTGACCTCATGGCTTTTGCTCTGCTGCATTGTCAGCTGTGAGGCCTTCTATAGAGAGCTGTGTGCCTTTCCAAATCATGTCTAATCAATTTAATTTACCACAGCTGGACTCCAATCTAGGTGTAGAAACATGTGAGCAATGATCAAGAGAAATGGAAGGCACCTGAGCTAAATGTTGTTGCAAAGGGTCAGGTGTGCAGAGCTTGTCATGTCATACACAAAAAGACTTGAGGGTGTCTTGCTGCCAAAGGTGTTTCAACAAAGTACTGAATGAAGGGTCTGAATACTTATCCCAAGGTGATATTTCAGTGTTGTCTTTTTAATAAATGTACAGACATTTCTAATAGTCTGTTTTTACTTTGTCATTATGGGGTACTGGGTGTACATTAATGAGGAAAAGAAGTTATGAATTATGAACAACTGTAGAATCAGGCTGCAGTATAACAAAAGGGAAGGGGATCTGAGTACTTTCTGAAAGCACTGTATATCCTTTTTACATTCTTGATTTAATTTGGTATTTCCACAGTTCAAGTTCTAAAGCAGGGGTGTCACATTGCCGGCCCATGGGCCAGTAGCATCATGCGGAGGCTGCGTCCATTCCAGCTCCGGCCATACAAAAAAAGTTATGATACGTCGCAACACCTCACGTGACACCGCAAGTTTGACACCCATGTTCTAATGGCTCTCAACATGTTATCCATTGTCTTCTCCTGCTGATTTTTTTCTGTTGAGAGCTATTAAGATATTTTGGGGCCCAGCCTACGTTTACTGTATATCTGCTTCATATTCTCAATGTGGCATTTCTAACATTATGGTTTTAAAATCTAGATTGTTCCTAAATTTATCATACCACAAACCTCTATCATGCCCTTCTAGTTCTAATCTCTTATTTCTGAGCAATTCCCATTTCTTCTCCAAACCACATAGACTAGACCAGTGATGGCGAACCTTTTAGTGACCGAATGCCCAAACTGCAACCCAAAACCCACTTACGCATCGTTGGGCGCTGGGTGGGCGTGGCCCATTGCCTGGGTGTGGCCAATTGGAGGGGTGTGGCCCATTGGGTAGGCATGGCTGCCATGGTAATGGCAGACTGGGTGGGACTAAAAAGTTCAATCAGTCAATTCCAACTTTGCAAGATCTTTTTTTCCCGCGAGAAGTTAAAATTGACTGATTGATTGAACCTTTTTTTTTTTTTTTGCACACGGCGGCGGAGGCCTAAAACGAAAAGGTTTTATAAAACCCAGTTGAAAGCCTAGGACTGGGGCAATGGCTCTGAGTGACACCTCTGGCAGCCGTGCCATAGGTTCGCCACCACTGGAGTAGACAATCCAATTTCAAACTGGACAAACCAAATCTTACCATTTCCTTCGAAACTTGAAGAATTTGATAGTTAATCCATGGTTTTTCCTTTGTCATACAAACTTAGATTTATCTTCCAAAATTTTAATGGAAGATAAAATTATTATAGGGCTTCTCTGCATCTTAGAAAATTTGTTTTTCACTATGTTCAAACTTCCTAAGCTTTGCTCCTTTTCCCTAATGTTATTTTCATTTCTCTTTTCTTGTAAAGGTAATAATGGAGAGGAAAATGAAGATTCTGAAAAACTATTCCAAATGATCACTCGTGGATACAATATGAAGAACCCTACATTTCAAATGGAAGAAGAAAGCCATGAAAGAAACCAATCAAATCATTGCAATCAGGAAAGTTCATCTTCTGTTCATGCACCAACGAAAGTCTCTGTGTCCCAGCAAGGAAAAATAAAAAATAAATATATTGGAAAATGTAAAAAACTATTCATAAAGAAATTAGATATAAATAGACACGATCAAACCCAAACCAAAGGAGAAGATTATGTATCTAGAGACAGTGGAAAAAAATACAGACAGACCTTGTCTCTTCCTCATAAAAATGGCTCCAGTACATCTCAAAAAAGGACCCGCAAAGGAGAGAAGCCGCATAAATGTACAGAATGTGGAAAGAACTTTATTAAGAACAGTCAACTTATTTACCATAAAAGGATCCACAAAGCAGAAAAAACATATGAATGCATGGAGTGTGGGAAAAGCTTTACTAAGAACAATCAACTTACACATCATAAGAAGATTCACACAGGAGAGAAGCCCTATAAATGCATGGAATGTGGAAAGAGCTTCACTTTTAGTACTGCTCTTACTTCGCATTTCCGGATCCATACAGGAGAGAAGCCATATAAATGCACTGAGTGTGGAAAGAGCTTTACTATGAATGGTCATCTTACGTATCATAAGAGGATCCACACAGGAGAGAAGCCCTATAAATGCATGGAGTGTGGAAAGAGCTTCACTTTTAGCACTTCTCTTACTTCCCATTACTGGATCCATACAGGGGAGAAGCCATATAAGTGCACAAAGTGTGGAAAGAGCTTCTGTGAAAATTCGTCTCTTACTGTTCATAAAAGAATCCACACAGGAGAGAGGCCCTATAAATGCATTGAATGTGGAAAGAGCTTCCCTAAGAGCAGTGACCTTATTTTCCATAAAAAGATCCACACAGGGGAAAAGCCACATAAATGCATGGAGTGTGGGAAGAGTTTTATTAAGAACTGCCAACTTATTTACCATAGTACGATACATACAGGAGAGAAGCCTTTTAAATGCATGGAGTGTGGAAAGAGCTTTATTAAGAACTCCCAACTTATTTACCATAGTAGGACACATACCGGGGAGAAGCCATATAAATGCATGGAGTGTGGAAAATGCTTTTCTTTCTCTACTAGCCTTAGCTCCCATAAAAAGATTCACACTGGGGAGAAGCCTTATAAATGTATAGAATGTGGAAAGAGTTTTTCTACGAAGAGTTATCTTAATATCCATAAAAGGATCCACACAGGGGAGAAGCCGTATAAATGTATGGTGTGTGGAAAAGGTTTTATTACGAGTAGTTCTCTTAACTCACATAAAAGGACCCACTCAGTTAGCAGCTGTATAAATCTCTAAAACGGGTAGTCAACCTTTTTATACTTACCGTCCACTTTTGTATCTCTGTTAGTAGTAAAATTATCTAACCACCCACCGGTTCCACTGTAATGGTGATTTATAAAGTAGGGAAGCAACTTTACTTTATAAAATTTATAAAGTAGAGTTACAGCAAGTTAAAGCATATAATAATAATTACTTACCAAATACTTTATGTCGGACTTTCGCTAAGTTTGGCAGAATAAATCTTTATAAAACAACTTACTGTAGTTAAATCTATCTTTTTATTTATACTTTGCATACATAGAAGCATGAAGTCTGATAAAATTACATTTAATTAATTAAATTATTAATGAGATCCCTGAGGCTGATGCTGCAAAACTAAATACTAGATATCTGGCTCAATTTTTGTAAGGAACAAACGAAGGTCTCCTCTTTCGGAAATATTCAGGCGGTTTCTTTCTTTGGTCATAATATGATTAATAGCACTAAAGCCTGATTCCACAAGATATGAGGTAGGGAAAGGTATCAATAAACTGAATATCATTTTCCACATATTTGGATATAAGACAGGCATGTTTTTACTTTGCCATAGGGTTTTCATATCCACCACTATCGAATTTATGTTTACTTTCTTCATCATATCTAATTTCTAACAGTTCTTCATGGCAAGTTGTATCAGCCTCTTCAATATTTGTGGTAAAAGGATTTTTCATCCAGTCATACACCTTCAATTTCAAAATATTCCAATGTCCAATTTAAGTTCGTTGAGGTGGCTACTAAATCAATATCCTCTGGAGTTACATCATCTTTTATAGATGATAATTCAGGAAACTGATGAAATTCTCTCTTCAATAGATTATAACGAAGTAGTTCAAGTTTGTCAATAAATAATGACACAATACTTTGGCAACCTATAAGAGTTTTATTAGCTCCTTGAAGCTGCAAATTGACATCATGAAATCTCTTGAAAATATCTGCCAAATAAAAGGCATCATTCTTTACTGTTTTTAACTGTTGGCACAGATTGGTCTCATTATTACTTTCAAAAAATTGTATGACACTATCATATAATGCAGTGGTTCTCAACCTGTGGGTCGGGACCCCATTTGGGGTCGAATGACCATTTCACGGGGGTCGCCAAACAACGCAGTCCGCCATTTTTCCCCCCTTTTCCTTAGCTGTGCTACTCCCTTTTATTCTATTGGCTTTTGAAAGCCAATAGAATAGACTCTCTTGAATAGAGTCTAATTCTATTGGCTTTCAAAAGCCAATAGGAATTGTCCAGGCTGTCTCTGCCCTGCTGAGCCCGCCAAAAGTCCCATTCTGCAAACGGTGCTGCACCAGTTGAGTAGTCCTCGACTTACGACCGGTTGAGTAGTCCTCGACTTACAACCGGTTGGGGGTCGCACCATTAAAAAGGTTGAGAACCACTGATATAATGCTACAAAACGAGCCAAAGATGTACCCTTTGACAGCCACTGAACTTCTGTGTGCAAAAGTAACGTAATAAAATCTTCATTATTGTCCTGGCAAAGCTGTCGAAACATTCTATCATTTTTTGCATTGGATTTGATCTTGTTTATGGATCGAATTATTATAGTTAATGATGAATGAAGACTTGTACTTAGATGTTTTCCTACAAGATGTTGTCTGTGCACCACACAATGAATACATAAAACATTTGGCACTTCTTCCTTCAAATAAGCAACAAATCCACGATAGTGACCTACCATTGATGGTGCTCCATCAGTAGCACATGCAACATTATTATTCAAAGTAATATTATTTTTTGTAAAGTATGATTTCACAGTATTAAATATAGATAATCCTCTTGTATCTGTAATGAGATTTATTGCAAATAGCATTTCTTCTCGTAATGTATTGTTTTTATCAAAATAACGTAGCTATGCCATCAATAAAGCATTATTATCTGCAATGGTAGACTCGTCCAATTGCATGGAAAATGAAGAGTTTTGGAGAATACTTATCAGCGTTTTTTTCAACATTAACTGCCATTTCTTCAATTTGTCGCTTTACTGTGCTATTGCTTAGGGGCAACGTTTTTAAAATTTCAGGTATATCCTGATGTATTATTGTTGAGATAAATTCTTTTATAGAGGGTATTATTACAGTTTCTCCAATATTATAGCTTTTACTACTTTTTGCAATTAATTGTGAAATGCGATAAGCGGCAATTAATCCATCTTCGTTCGCTGCATGTTGTTTCTTAAATGATGCAATGATTGTTGAACTATTTTGAAATGTTTTATATATTTTCTGAAAATATTCAATGGGCTTGTCCTTATCATTCGGATGCTTTGTAGAAAGATGTTGTCGTAATCAACTTGGCTTCATTACCTCATTGGATAATGTTTTATGACACAATAAACACATTGGATGTTGTTTATTTACAACAGATTCTATGAAACCCATCTTCAGATACTCTGGCAAATAGCCACGAGCGTATTTCTTTTTTTGAGACATGGACTCACTATACTTTGTTTGAAGCTGTAGGCACGTGCTCAATCTCATAAATCTAACTGCATACTGACCAGTGTGACTGCAAACAAAAGAGCCTGCACTGTGTATTGTCTACGCATGTCTCTCGCGCATCATGGATTGGATTTGGGGGGCGCCAGCTACCAGTTCTGCTTATATGTTACAGCTGGATGGTGTGGGGGGAGATGCACGAGCTATTCTGAGATGAGTCTCTTTTGTTTGCAGTTGCACTATAGCGCCATTTAGTTTCACTTACGTAACATGAACTAAACTTATGTGCGGGCGATACAAATAGTATATTTTCAGAAATTTAAATTGTCACGGGGAATTTTATGAAAACCTAATGAAAATGTTTTTAAATAATGCTATGAAAATTTTTTTAAAAGTCAATTAAATTAAAAAAAAGGAAAATGCTTCAGTATTGGACAAAACACCTACTGAAAGCTGGAACGCCTACTAGTGGGCGATAGGGACCAGGTTGACTACCACTGCTCTAAAATGTGGAAAAATCTTCAAGAGGACCAATGGCCAAATGTTCCATATACAGATACTTTTGGGCGATAATCTGTTTAACTGTTAGGTTTAGTTGTTGAAATATATGCATTTCCTAATTACGTCTATTAAATTAGAAAAGGAGTTTTTTGACTCTGACTTTCACAATTGGAAACCTCAGAGTGATGAATTTACTATTTTAATTATGAACAGTGAAATTTGGTAGTTACTGTCATGTGAAGGCCACTGATTGCCGTTTCACGTCAATAAGAGAACATCTTTTTTCTTCATGTTTATCCCATTTCCAATTGGTTCATAATAAAAAAAAGCCCAAATCCTCAATGAAACTTATATAATTTTTGAGAGGAAGCATGGCCTATGCATGGGGTGGAGATGCAGAACTTTGAAGTGTGGTGGCAATTGGGCCTACCTCGGAGCGTGCGGGCGGACCAACTACCAGTAAGAGAGTTCAGGCAAGAGGATGTGGGTGCCCTTCTCATACCAGTTCAGTCCCTGCAATCCTGGGTCGGCCGTGCTAGGTGGTGGCAGGAAGTGTGCGGGGACAGCCAGGCCAATGCTCCTCTGGGTAGACGGGGGTTCTTTGCCCCAGGGACGCAGGGAGGGTGTCTTCCTGGTCTAGCCCGCCCAAGAGGTGAGCAGGGAGGTGGCAGCCCTGGGTCAAAGTGCCAGCCAGAGGGTCGGGGAAAGTGCTGAAGCGAGCGGACGTCCTACCTGTAGCGCTCTTGCCGGTTACTCCTTCCCCAACAGAACCAGAATGCTGCTCCATTTCAGTGGATGCTGGCCTTCCCTCCATTAGGCCTGGGCAGCTGCTGGAGAGAAATGGATCCGTTTTAGCACCTGGTGCCATTGGGGCAGTTGCCTTGCCACCTGTTTTCCAGCTCTGTTGCATTTCTCCACCGCCGCGGAGCTGGACAGCTTGCCGCACCATCGCCCAGCTGCTCTTGTTTCCCCCAAGCATTTTTCTCTTCCTCTGCGTGAAGAGAAAGAAAAGATTGTGGGGCTAAAAAAAAAAAAAAAGTTCAATCAGACCTTCCAATTTCCTGACTTTTTTTTTGCGAGAGGTTTGAAGGTCTGGTTGAATTTTCTTTTAGTCCCAAAACTTTTATTTCCTTGCATGTGGAGGCAGAGAAACTCGATGGAGATGGAGAAATGTGGCCCAGCTGGAAAGGAAGTTAGCAAAGAAATGCTTGGGGGAAGTTTCCCCCCCCCCCCGTGCCTCTGCCTCTACTTGCACGTTCGGCCGGCTAAACCTCACTTCTATCCGAGTGATCCATTTAGTAAAGTGAAGGCAAGGGGGGGAAGAGGGCAGTGCAGATTCCCGGTACATGAGACTGGGTTTTTTTTCCCCTGCTGCTGGATTTTTTGTTGCCATACTGTTTAACTTTAAAGTTTACTTGATGCAGAATGGGAAGGATCTGCATTTTGCATCAATAAATTTTAAAGAAAGTTATAAGGTATGGCAGCAAAAATGTGCCAGTGTGGGGAAAAAAACCCATTTTTTTTGAGATGCCAGACTAGCATGAATTCATGTACCTTCAGTCCCTTTACTTGATGCAAAGCCAGATTGGAGCCCTTGGGCCGCTGCTTCGCCCCCATTTCAGAGCAAGTGCAAAAGAGAAGGGAATGGTTCCCACCCTACCCGCTCGTTGCAGGGCTTCATTTCTAAAGACCTCTGCATAGACTCCGGACAAACCAAGATCTGGGACTGAAAAAGCAGCAATAGAAGTGAAGGGCTGTTCAAATGAGGAGGAAGGAGAAAGTGGGAGAAGCCATTGAACAGGCAAAGCGTGACAGGTGTTGGGGCATGTTAGGCCTGGCTTTAGGGGCCCTTCAGCATGGTAAGCTGTATAGGGTACATGGGACAGCTCTCACCCACCTTCCACTCGGCTTCACGTCTAGCAACCCGATGGTGTGATGGAATGGGTGTCCAGTCAGCTGTGCAAGCTCTTAAGTAGGGCTTATTTTGGGAGGAGGGCTTAGACCCAACACCAAAAATGAAGCTAGGTATTCTTTTCTGGGGGGGGGGGAATGATAGATCAAGCAAGATAGAAATACTGTATTTTTCCCTGTATAAGAGCTATTTCTTCCTGCAAACAACCTGTTCAAAAATCAGGTGCATCTTATATAAGTGTAGCATTTTATACAAGGAAAAATAATGGTAACCTCCGCAGCCCATGACATGCCTTTTTGGGTTGCCATGCCTCCTGGTGCAGGTGTCAAGCCCCTGTGGGCTTGCCATTAATGGGAGGGGGGAGGGGGCAAGATCATTGGCCAGCCAAACTTCTGGATTTGCCGTATTCGGCACTCCACCGAACAGCTGATCGGCACGGAGAAACTCGCATGCCAGAGCATCTTATAGGAGGGTGCGTCTTCTAGACGAAAAAATATGGTGGTTGCTAACCTGTGGTAATAGGAAGAAAGTAAAATAAGCAAGGTGCCTTTAGGGTTAACTTTAAAAGGAGTAGGAGTTTAAACTGTGTCTAATAAAAGTTTTTGTGGGAAAAACAATTGTTGTCTTTGCATCTGCTTACTGTACAATAATAAAAGCCCTAATAATTGTTAATAAATATTTTGGGGAGGAGTTGGGTGGGGGACAAACTTCAGAGTTTCAGAGGCTCCTGCTGAGTTGAAGTGGTTCATTGAAATATTACCCCTGCATGATTCTGTGTCAAAATGGAGAAAAGGCACCAATTCCAGTTTTCTGCCAATTATTGTCCAATGTTTCATTACAAAAATGGAACAGAGTCACAGTTAAAGAAAAGTAGACAACAATTGTATTTTTTGTTCACGATCTGGAGACATACGAATTGCCTTAAACTCAACAAAGGGCTTTCCTACTCATATTTCTTGAGGGTGTTTGCTGTTCAACCCCCTAAATAAAACACCTTTCCCCTCTTATTTATCTCCCCCATAGTGTTTGAATGTTATATTCTCTTTTCCATAGTTTTCCACCCTTTCGTAGTTCAAACATTTCTCCAATCCCAGATGAGACACCATTTCCCCGTTTTTCAAGAGCAGATTGTAGATACACTACCAGAGAAATAGAAACATGGGAGAAATCTCCATTTTCCCGATTGTGGCTTTGCTGCCCCTGTCCCGTCTTCAGGCTGAAGTTCGCAACAACCGCAAGATACAAATTGTGTTTCCCAGAGAGGCTCCTGGTCCTTGTCTTCTGACTGCCTGGCCATTTCTGAGAGAATTTGGGCCCCTTTTGAGGCCTTCTCCAATCTCTGTGGAGCCTTCAGGCAGCTGTTCTTGAGGAAAGCGAGTTCAAATCCTCCAGGGAGATCTTTTTCTCCACAGAGGGTTCCTGGACAGGAAGATGGAGAAGCTGCGGCCTCTAGAGACACTGACGCCTTTCCTCCTACCTTTCCTCCTACTCCCATGCCCATCATCCTTTCCCTTTCCCTCCCTCCCCTCAGAAGCTCTTTCTCTTTCCCGCCCATTCGGAGAATCCTGGCATCTCGGGCAGAGTCCACCAGGGGGCGCAATCAGCTTAAGAAAACAGGGCATGCGCGGGACACTTCAGCCAGAGTTGTTGCCCGGGGCGTCCGTGGGAAGAGGCTGTTCTTTCTGTTCTCCCCCTCCCTCCGCGGAGAGGCTTTGCGGGGGGCGCGGAGCCTGCGTGGGATTCTTGCGGAGACGCGCGTCCCGACGAGACTCCTGAATTCCGTGAGTGGCGGCTCTGCCCGTGCAAAGGGGTCCCGCGCTGGAAGGGAGCGTGGAGACGGGCCAAGTCTTCCCCCGGGGTGGGAGTCCGCGGTCCCATGTTCCCCTGCCGCCCTTTCCCATGCAGGAACCAGGCAAGGGGGCGGGGGAGCAAAGGAGAGAAATGGGGGTCCCCAGAAGGGAGGGGCCGTTTCCCCCATTTCCTGGGGGAGCCTCTGCATGGGGGGGAGGGGGAGGCTGGCCGGAAGTCTCCCTGCCGGCTCTGAGTGCAAGTCCGGGACCCCGGGTGGGAGGACTGGGGGGCTGCTTCCTCGCCTTTCCCCGCGACCGGGCAAAGGGGCTCTGCCGGCAGACAAAGGAGGGAGAGGCTGTAAGGAAGGAGACGCAAGTGGGGCTGAGACGCAGTATTTGCATTCAGTGCCCGGTAAAATAATAATAATAATAATAGTAGTAGTAGTAAAGTTGGAAGGGACCTTGGAGGTCATCTAGTCCAAGCCCCTGCTCAGGCAGGAAACCCTATACATTTCGGACAAGTGGCTGTCCAGTCTCTTCTTAAAAACTTCCAGTGTTGGAGCATTCACCGCTTCTGGAGGCAGTTTGTTCCACTGGTTAATTGTTCTAACTGTCACGAAGTTTCTCCTTAGTTCTAGGTTGCTTCTGTCCTTCATTAGTTTGGGCTGGTGTCTCCCAAACCTCTTTCAAGCCTGGGAGTTCGAAGTCCATGCTTGTCTTCGTTTGTCCGTCTTTGGAAAAGCTTGGATTAGGCTAAGAAGTGGGGAACGTGTTTGTCAGAGTTGCATGAATCAGAAGCTCATGTTAGGCTGTCAGTGGTTCATTCGTTTGGCTGTTCATCCTCTGTGTATGGGATGGTGGCTTGTTAACTCAGGCTTCTCAAGTTCCCAAAGGATGATTAATGGGGTCCTGCTGTCTAAACCTTTAGCATTTGTTCAAACGTTGATTTATTTTCTCATGAAATCGATTTATATAGATCTCATCTCAATTGCTGTTTTGTGACCTGAGACATTTATTGTTTTAAGGAGTGCTCTTAACTCTGACTGACTTTTGAAATCATTAAAATAAATAACTAGAAAATAGACATCCAAAATGTGTTTCAAATGTAGTTGTCCAGTACAGTATTTTGAGTCTTTGATAGAAGTTGATCAAGAAGGGTTCTTCAGAATATGCCCCAGCTGCACAGAAATTAAAGTATCTAATAAGATTTCTCACTTTCTTGCCTGACAATAAATAAATAAACTTTATTGTCATTGTATTGTATTGACATTAGTGGTTTTATAAGATTTTCTTCTTGTAAATTTTTCTTTCAGGATGGAGTCTCTCTAGTTAAATTATTCACCCTGTCTTCCTGATCCTTTGATATTCTGTTTTGGATATATAAGCTGCAAATGTTTTGTAAGGTCACTGGCAAAACTTGAGAAATCATAAAAATCCAGTCATGAGAACTCACGCAGAAGCTTCTTAAAGAAATAGTACTTCATTTTTGATCAAAATAAGTCCAGGGTGGGAACACAGTCTGAACACTGGCAGCAGTTGCATTCAGAAATGCCACACCTTACAAATTTAGTATGCATTGCTTTATAAGCTTTGTTAGCCAATGAAAATCAGACAACACAGTTATTACAATATAAGGAAGACCTCAATAATTCCTGTACACTCCCTTATTCCCTCCTTCAGCACATCACATTAATGTACATGTTTCCCACGCTTGCATGAAATTTGTCCCTGAGGGAAACGCTGATTACAAAAGCGAGATAGCAATTTGTTTCTTTTTCTGGTTTCAGTTACAGAACCCTTTAGTTTCATGCTTCTTCTGGAGACAAAGAGTAAACTAGGATCAGATCCTCCACGTTTAAGAGGGTGGGTGAACATCATTTTAAGGTGTATTCTTTCAAGCCTTGAGTTTCCTGTGAACTTTGCCTATATGGTTGGAGTCAGGGCAAATTGTTTGAAGCAGCCTTTGTGTATAGTATAGTACTTCCCAAAAAGTAAGTGCTGAAGTGAGCATCCTAAACCAGGATCATTTCTTTTGCATTTCATTTGATGTGAACTCAGTCTTCCTGCCTTTGTCAGGATGTTGTTCCTTCCCGGGATTATTTCACTCGGTTTCATTCCAGGTTGGGGGTCATCTTCCTTTTCCTCACTAAGACCCCTGACAAAAGATAACATTTTCTTTCTTGGGATAAGCCATTTTTGGAATTTCATCCTTACCTCTTCTCTGGCTCCAGTTACTTACAAACATACAAACTTAAAGACAAAAGTGTGGAACATCCTTAATGAATGTCTAGTGACTAAGTGTCTCATTATGAAGCACAAGAAACGTGAAAAAAGTCTGTATTCCATTCCAGTTTCTTAAGCTCCTTGACTTCTGGCATCTTTATGAACTCTAAGTGTAGGGTATATGTAGATCTTAAATTTGAAAAAAAGCTAGCCTATCCTTCAGGGAAAAAAGAAATAGAAAATCCTCCAAATATAAAACATAAAATATTCCATGTCTTGATGGAAGCTAGGACCATATTTTGCACCACACTTGATGAACAGATAGACACACAAATACAGTCAGGTCTAGAAATATTGGGACATCGACACAATTCAAACGTCTTTGGCTCTATACACCACCACAATGGAGTTGGAATGAAACAAACACAATGTGCTTTAACTGCAGATTGTCAGCTTTAATTTGAGGGTATGTACATCCAACTCAGGTGAACGGAGTAGGGCTTACAGCAGTTTGCATATGTGCCTCCCACTTGTTATGGGACCAAAGGTAATGGGACAATTGGCTTCTCAGCTGTTCCATGTCCAAGTGTGTGATATTCCCTCATTACCCCAATTACAATGTGCAGATAAAAGGCCCAGAGTTCATTTCAAGTGTGCTATTTGTATTTGGAATCTGTTGCTGTCAACTCTCAAGATGAGATCCAAAGAGCTGTCACTATCAGTGAAGCAAGCCATCATTAGGCTGAAGAAACAAAACAAACCCATCAGAGAGATAGCAAGAACATTAGGCGTGGCCAAAACAACTGTTTGGAACATTCTCAAAAAGAAGGAATGCACCGGTGAGCTCAGCAACACCAAAAGACCTGGGAGACCAGGGAAAACAACTGTGGTGGATGACCAAAGAATTCTTTCCCTTCACAACAGTTGGCAGTTGGCCAGATCAAGAACACTCTCCAGCAGGTAGGTGTATGTTGTCAAAGTCAACAATCAAGAGAAGACTTCACCAGGGTGAATAGAGAGGGTTCACCACAAGATGTAAACCATTGGTGAGCCTCAAAAACAGGAAGGCCAGATTAGAGTTTGCCAAACAACATCTAACAAAGCCTTCACAGTTCTTGAACAAGATCCTATGGACAGATGAGACCAAGATCAACTTGTACCAGAGTGATGGGAAGAGAAGAGTATGGAGAAGGAAAGGAACTGCTCGTGATCCTAAGTATACCACCTCATCAGTGAAGCGTGGTGGTAGTGTCATTGCATGAGCATGTATGGCTGCCAATGGAACTGGTTCTCTTGTATTTATTGATGATGTGACTGCTGACAAAAGCAGCAGGATGAATTCTGAAGTGTTTTGGGCAATATTATCTGCTCACATTCAGCCAAATGCTGCAGAACTCATTGGACGGCGCTTCACAGTGCAGATGGACAATGACCCAAAGCATACTGCAAAAGCAACCAAAGAGTTTGTGAAGGGACAGAAGTGGAATGTTATGCAATGGCCAAGTCAATCACCTGACCTGAATCCCATTGAGCATGCATTTCACTTGCTGAAGACAAAACTGAAGGGAAAATGCCCCAAGAACAAGCAGGAACTGAAGACAGTTGCAGTAGAGGCCTGGCAGAGCATCACCAGGGATGAAACCCAGCGTCTGGTGATGTCTATGCGTTCCAGACTTCAGGCTGTGATTGACTGCAAAGGATTTGCAACCAAATATTAAGAAGGGAAAGTTTGATTTATGATTATTATTCTGTCCCATTACCTTTGGTCCCTAACAAGTGGGAGGCACATATGCAAACTGCTGTAAGCCCTACTCCGTTAACCTGAGTTGGATGTACATACCCTCAAATTAAAGCTGACAGTCTGCTGTTAAAGCACATTGTGTTTGTTTTGTTCCAACTCCATTGTGGTGGTGTATAGAGCCAAAGATGTTCGAATTGTGTCGATGTCCCAATATTTCTGGACCTGACTGTACCCAGAGGATCCATTTGCTCAATACTACTGCAGTCCTTTACCAGCTTCCCTTTCATGAGGAGGAATGTTGTTCAATGGTTAAGTCCACCACCTTCTCAATTTTTTGAATTTATTTCTTTTTCCATCTCAGATGCAGAAACTAGATTCATCTTAAAAACCTTCCTAGCAACAAAAAGCTAACTCTTGGGTGACGAACCTGGATAGCCTTTCTGGTCAGTCCTGCAGTTACTGGAATAGTCCTACGAATTGAAAGGTGTTTGGAGATCCACAAGATTCTTCTGACCTATCTGGAATTTCCTTCCAGGACAGACAAAGGATGCAGAAACAACCATTAGCAAGGGAAAGGCCCCTCTGTTGTTGAGCCTGGCAGCTGTGGGAAGATCTGGGCAAGAACTGGCAAGGACTGTGCAGAAGATGCTGGAGGAGAAAACCATCATCTGTTCAGAGATTCAACCCTGGAAGTTCAGAAACATCCAATACGAAGAGATTGAAGGTCCCCGAGGACTTTGTAGCCGGCTCCACAACTTTTATAGTCAATGGCTGAGGTTAGAAAAGCACACTAAAACCCAAATGTTGGACCTTGTTGTTTTGGAGCAGCTCCTGGTCCTTCTGCCCCAGCAGATGTCAAACTGGTTGCGGGAGTGTGGAGCAGAGACCAGCTCCCAAGCGGTGGCCCTGGCGGAAGGCTTCCTCATGAGTCAGGCAGAGGAGCAGAAGGAGCAAGTCGAATTGCAGGTGAGAGACCTCCACCCTGGAAGTCCAGAAGAGAATAAAGAATGTGTTTGAATTTTTCACCCCTCCCTTCCCTACTTCTCTGCTCTTTGTAATATGTGGAGGTGTTTCATTAGTTCTTGCAAGACATTGTTCTGTTATCCATTCTAGAAGATAACTTGAGACAGTTGTTCCTTTCGTACATTCTGGGCTCATTGATAAACATGGTGGCATTGAAATTATTTTTAGAGAACAAGAATCCGCTTCACGTTTTGTGAGGACTTATTTATTTTTCTTTTCTTTTGCCTCCGATTTCAAGTCTTTCACTCTGCAAACCAGAGATCCTATGAGGAATCTATCAAATCCCCTTCAGGAGCTGTTTTCCAGGAAGATCTATCAGGAATCCGCAACTCAGGACATCTCAGATGGTAATCAAAAGTCCATCCATTCCCAAGAGAGGTCCCAGCTGTCTTACATTCTCTGTCTCTTCTCTTCTCTAGAATGCTCCTGCCGTTTTGTTAATTATCCATATCTGTCTCCCTCACAGGGAAGGATAGAACAAATTTGACTCCTTTTTATGGTGGTGCTGAAAGAGCGGTTGAAGCTCCAACTCAAGTGAGAGGAATAATAAAACATAAAATGTTCTCAGTGTTAGCATTTTGCTGAATAGTCATCCTATTACTAATTCTTTGGCACGGAATATTGCAACGGTATTCAATAATAACGGAAAGAATCACATTGGGACCTTACATTTTCTAAATTGCCCTGTTTATAACCAATGATAAGAAAAATAATGGCACCAGGTTAAAATATGAAGCAGACGGTTAAAATCCAAAGAGGGTGGGCAGATCAAGGCCCTTCAGCCTTTAGAGGAATTTCTAATATTCCGATTTGTGCCTGGAATTTGGGGCCAAATAATCCAGCTTTGGAAAGGATGAGAAATGTTCTTCCCAGGAAGGTTTCTCTTCTTCAGCCATTGGGTTGGGGTACAAGCTGTGGATTCCTTGTAATCTGAGGAGCAGCGGAAACAGGGCTTGTGTCCCTTTGTCTATTGATGACACCCATGTAAATGCCTGGATGGCTCTCAAACAACTTTAATGAAGGTTTTGAGCATGGATAGGATTGTTTGTTCTGAGGATACCACAAGCCTTTTACTTAAATGGCAAAAAGAACCACCACCACCACCTTCGCATGTTCTTCTGCAAATACTGGGTGTATGGGAGTGAGTGATAGGTGGGGGTCCAAGGTCCATATCAGCTGATGTTTTCCAGATGCTGAAAGTCTTGCTGATGGATGGGGATAGATAGACAGACAGACAGACCTCGATGAAAAGTGGGATTCATTTCATTGAATAACCTGAAATGTATATCTTTGCTTATAATCACTTAAACAATAGGACAAAGCTTGAACATTCTCCTGATTTTTCTTCTTTCTTCTCATTCAGCAGGGTCTTGTGTCCTTTGAGGAGGTGGCTGTGTATTTCTCCGATGAGGAGTGGTCTCAGCTGGATGATGACCAAAAAGCGCTGCATCGGGAAATCATGTTGGAAAATCATAGGAACGTGGCCTCTTTGGGTAAGAATGTGCTACTCCCCAGTCAGAGTCTTCGGAAGACATTCTGTAATTAGCTATATTAGCACTTTTGTTATTATTATTATTATTAATTTATTAAAGGAATTTTATCAGAATAAAAACAATACAAATTTTGAAGAGGAAATAAAGAAGATAGAGTAATGTGATTAGTGAATAAGAAAAAAGTATAATAAAATTGAAGAGAAAAGACAAAATAATAAGTTATAATTTGTGCCCTCTTTCTAAGGTTACATCGTTGTTTCCTCCTTTACATAATTTATCCTTTCCAATCTTCAACTAAAGTTTGATAAAAATTTCATTTTTCTTTTTTTTAAGTAAAAAGTCCATCAGTGGTTTCCAATCACTAATATAGATACTGTCCTTTCCTTAATCAGAGTCAATTTAATTAGCATTGAGAATTCTATCATCTTCCCCACCCATTCCACCATTTTAGTTATGTAGAGCCCTTCCAGCTTTTTGTTATGGGTATCATACTCAGAAACAATCTTCAATGACTGTTGATTACTGCCAAGATAAAGTGTTCCGATTTCAGCTGGATATTAATCTTTAAAGTTCTCTGTATCACTGAATATCGTTGACCCCAAACTTTTCTAGCTTTTTTACAAGTCCACCAGAGCACGGCAAAATGATCCTTTATCTTGTCCACATTGCCAATATAAGCTTGAGGTACATTTATACACTTTTGAATTTTTTTCTGTTGATTTTCACATTCCTCAGCCTGTTTAGAGGTTTTAGCAATTACACATTCATCTTTTCTACACAAGTAAGATTCAAATTCTGCTTTATGTTGTTGAATATTAGAGTTCTCTTTACCTGGAATCTTTCTGATAATTTGAAAACTACTGACAATTACAGTGCATTCAGAAAGTATTCAAACATCCCTCACTTTTGCCAATTTAGTTTTGCTGCAGTCTGATTCTACAGTTGTTGAAATTCATTTACTTTGCCATTAATCTACACGCAGTACCCATAATGACAAAGTGAAAACAGTATTTTAGAAATGTTTGTGAATTGATTAAAAAGCAAAAACTAAAATATCACTCATTGGTGTAAGTATTCAGACCCTTCACTCACTACTTTGTTGAAGCACTTTTGGCAGTAACTCCAGTCTCAAGTATTTTTTGGGTATGATGCAATTAGCTTTGCACACCTGGATGGGGGGATTTTCTGCCATTCTTCCTTGCAAATCCTCTCAAGCTCAGTCAGGTTGGATGGCGGCCATCGGTGGACAGCCATTTTCAGGTCCCTCCAGTGATGTTGAATAGCTTTCAAGTCAGGGCTCTGATTGAGCCACTCTAGGACATTCATAGAGTTGCCTGTGTTGTCTTTGTTGTGTGCTTAGGATCATTGTCATGTTGGAAAGTGAACCTTCGGCCCAGGTTTTCTTTGAGGATATATCCCTGTACTTTGCTCCATTCATCTTTTCCTCAATTCTGACTAGTCTCGGATGCCAAAAAAACATCCCCACAGCTTGACACCCGTGTTCTAATGGCTCTCAACATGTTAAAGTTATTTTCATTTCTCTTTTCTTGTAAAGATAATAATGGGGAGGAAAATGAAGATTCTGGGAAACTATTCCAAATGATCACTCGTGGATACAATATGAAGAATCCTACATTTCAAATGGAAGCAGAAAGCCATGAGAGAAACCAATCAAATCATTGCAATCAGGAAAGTTCATCTTCTGTTCATGCACCAACGAAAGCCTCTGTGTCCCAACAAGGAACAATAAAAAAGAAATATATTGGAAAATGTAAAAAACTATTCATAAAGAAATTAGATATAAATAGACACGATCAAACCCAAACTAAAAGAAAAGATTATGTCCCTAGAGACAGTGGAAAAAAATACAGACGGACCTTGTCTCTTCCTCATAAAAATGGCTCCAGTACATCTCAAAAAAGGACCTGCAAAGGAGAGAAGCCACATAAATGTACGGAGTGTGGAAAGAACTTTATTAAGAACAGTCAACTTATTTACCATAAAAGGATCCACAAAGCAGAAAAAACATATGAATGCATGGAGTGTGGGAAAAGCTTTACTAAGAGCACTCAACTTACACATCATAAGAGGATCCATACAGGAGAGAAGCCCTATAAATGCATGGAATGTGGAAAGAGCTTCACTTTTAGTACTGCTCTTACTTTGCATTACCGGATCCATACAGGGGAGAAGCCATATAAGTGCATGGAGTGTGGAAAGACCTTTGCTCAGAGCAATGGTCTTATTTCCCATAAAAGGATCCACACAGGAGAGAAGCCCTATAAATGCATGGAGTGTGGAAAGAGCTTCACTTTTAGTACTTCTCTTACTTCCCATTACTGGATCCATACAGGGGAGAAGCCATATAAGTGCACAAAGTGTGGAAAGAGCTTCTGTGAAAATTCGTCTCTTACTGTTCATAAAAGGATCCACACAGGAGAGAGGCCCTATAAATGCATTGAATGTGGAAAGAGCTTCCCTAAGAGCAGTGACCTTATTTTCCATAAAAAGATCCACACAGGGGAAAAGCCACATAAATGCATGGAGTGTGGAAAGAGCTTTATTAAGAACTGTCAACTTGTTTACCATAGTAGAATGCATACAGGGGAGAATCCATATAAATGCACGGAGTGTGGTGAGGCTTTTATTTCAAAAAGTTATCTTAACACCCATAAAAGGATCCACACACGGGAGAAGCCAAACAAATGCATGGAATGTGGAAAGAGTTTTTCTACAAAGAGTTATCTTAACACCCATAAAAAGATCCACACAGGGGAGAAGCCTTATAAATGCATGGAGTGTGGTAAGGCTTTTATTACAAAGAGTTGTCTTAAAAGCCATACAAGGATCCATACTGGGGAGAAGCCATATAAATGCATGGAGTGCGGAAAGAGCTTTATTAAGAACTGCCAACTTATTTACCATAGTAGGATACATACTGGAGAGAAGCCTTTTAAATGCATGGAATGTGGAAAGTTTTTCTATGAACAGTTACCTTAATATCCATAAAAGGATCCACACAGGGGAGAAGCCTTATAAATGTATGGTGTGTGCGAAAGATTTTATTAGAAAACGTTATCTTAATTCTCATAAAAGGACCCACACTGTGTAGAAGCCCTATAAGTCTGTGAAATATGGGAAAACTTCAAGAGGACCAATGACTGAATGTTCCATATACAGATAATTTGGGTGAGAATCTGTTTAACTGTTAGGTTTAGTCGTTAAAATATATGAATTTCCTTATTACATTTATTGAATTAGGAAAGAAGTTTTTTGATTCTGAACTTCACAACTGGAAGCCCCAGAGGGATTAATTTACTACTGGAAACCAAACGCTAGGCATGAGTGGATTTTTGAAGGCAGGACAAGAAGCAATGGATGGAAACTAATCAAAGAATCAACCTAGAACTAAGGAGAAATGTCCTGACATTTAGAAAAATTAATCAGTGGAAAAACCTGCCTCCAGAAGTTGTGGATGCTCCAACACTGGAAGTTTTTAAGAAGAGACTGGACAGCCATTTGTCTGAAATGGTATAGGGCTGTGGTGGTGAACCTATGCCACGCATGCCACAGGGGACACGTGAAGCCGTCCCTATGGGCACACGTGCCATCGCCCCAGGCAGGCGGGGCCAGGCTTCTCCCCTCCGCCTCTCCACGTGCGCTGCGCTCTCGCTCTTTCTGCATTGTGAGTCGGAGCAGCTGCAAGAGGCGGGAGGCAAGGATGCCGCTAGGGCTGAGGCCGTGAGGGGCCAGGTAGGACGGCCATGGGGCAGCCGGCGCTGGAGTTCAGCGTCTGCTACCTGGACAGCCTGGGCTTCCATGAGTGCCTCCGGTTCTCCGAGCAGGAGCTGGAGCGCACCAACAAATTCCTGAAGGACATGGGCAAGGATGGCAACACGCTCATTGGGGCCATCAAAAGTAAGCGGTGTTCTCACTGCGAGGAGCCCCCCCATCCACTCAGGTTGTGGACCCCCGCGTGGCGGCAGGGCGATCCATGCAGCGGGTGGGGGGAAAGCTGCCCCACTTCCATGGCCGTTTTCGGCCGAGCTGCATTGCAGCAGCATTGGGCACAATATGCAAGGCGGCAAAAAGCTGCTTCATGCCAAAACTGGCCGTTTGCCGCCTCCTGCCCAGTGCTGCTGCCATGAGGCCGCAGAACAAGCTGAGGGGAAGTAAGGAACCTGGTTGGGCTCTGAAAGGGTTGAGTCAGGGCGATGGGAGAATGGCGCTCTGCAAGGGTTGGATCGAACGCTCGTGGGGCTGCTGCCTCGTTTTTCGTGCCTGCCGGGGCTAGGCTTGACTGGGTGCAGAGCCTCCTTGCCACTTCTTCCCCCGTGGTCATTGGGAGTGCCTACACCACCTACCACTCGTCCCAGGGCACCTGCCGCCGTCCCGTGCTCTCCAGCCCATCGCTGACCAGCTGGGTGTGCCAAGCTTGGGCCTCGGGCAGATGGAGGCTGTAGGGGAGTGAGAGCCATAGCTGCCCAGCTCCTCCACCTGAGGATGCGTGTGGGGAGAGGCGCCACCCGGCTCGGTAAGCCACAGTCCACCGGCAGAAGGAGCAGGAGGATGCAAGAGGAGGGCTGGCCGGGGACAGGCGCAGGGCTGCCCACAGGGGGAATCTGACCAGCCCTAGTCTGGAGGGGGGGAGAGGCCAAGGGAGCCCAAAGAGAGGCATCCCGGCACGCCCGGCTGGTCAGCGATGGGCTGGAGAGCACGGGACAGCGGCAGCTGCCTCGGGACGAGTGGTAGGTAGGGTGGGCACTCCTGATGTCCGTGGGGGAAGCCACGAGGAGGCTCCGCACCCAATCCAGCCCACTGCCGGTGTCATGGTTCCGACTAATGAAACACTCTAGATACAATATTTGCAGTGTTGACAGCCAGTATGGCACAGAAAGCGAGGCAGGAACCGCACATGCGCCCCCATGTGCAAGTACGCCCCCACCCTGCCAGGCAAGTGGAGCCGCGGCATCTGCAGCAGAAGAGCACAAGCGGGCAGCGGAAGGGACAAGGAGCCCCGATCACAGCGTAGCCTCTCCGCACTCTCCTCCCCCCCCCTTTGGAAGAGCTGTGGGGCTCAGGAGCCTTCCCCCATGCCCACACCCCCCAAGAGAAGAAAATCATCACGAGACAATTTTCTGTTTTAACTTTTTTTCCTTGTTGCTTTTTGGAGTTTTCATCCTGCTTTTGTGAGATGGTGGTGTTTGAGAGGTGGTATAGCTGCCCCCTTTCCCACCAAGCCATCAGCTGAGCAAGACGCCCTCCTGCCCACTGTGCCACCTATCAAAGACACCCCTGGATCTCCCCCAACCTTGCCCGGCCCCCACAGGCATCCCTCCCCAGGAGCAACATTGAGCTGGCCATGCCCACCCTGGCCCCGCCCACCACCTTAGTCACCTGCCATAGTCACCTGCCATAATCACCTTAGTCACACCCAACTTGGTCACACCTACCCAGCGGGCCACGCCCACCTGGCAATACATAAGTGGGTTTTGGATTGCAGTTTGGGCACTCGGTCTCTAATAGGTTCGTCACCATTAGTATAGGGTTTCCTGCCTGAGCAGGGGGTTGGACTAGATGCCCTCCAAGGTCCCTTCCAACTTTATTATTATTATCTGTTATTGCCATTTCACATAAATAAGAGACCATCTTTTTTCCCTCATGTTTATCCCATTTTTAAAAAGTTATATTTAATATATAAAATACAAAGAAAAATAGAAATAAGAAATTAGGGGAAGGAAAAAGAGAGGGAAAATTAAAATGTGAGGTAAAAGGGAAAAAAGGTGTTGACTTCTGACTCCTTTTAGTACAGAACAAGATAAAAACACTCCAACCCCAATTTTTTGCTTTCACACTTTAGTGTATTAAGTAGCCATTTCTATAACAACAGATCTATCTAATTGACAAAATCAAAGTGAAAGTTTCATTTTTTTCATCACAAGCACAATATCCAGAAGTGATCTCCAAGTATAAAATGTATTTAAAAACATTCTCCTCTTTAAATAAAATGATCAATTTAACCAGTCCTGCTTTATTTTCCTTGCTATGGAAAAGGTGTGTACTTCTATTTGCACCTAATAATCTTTGTGAATTATCACCTTTTTTAGTAACAAGGTTCATTGTATTATTTCAGATTCTTTGACCTTACAGGGAAAAATATTGTTGTTTTTCACCCTTTTTAAAATGCTAAACTTTTCTTTAAACCCATTTCTAAAATCAAAACTTTCTAATACAACTTTAATTTCTCAATATACAGGCTTTGAACTTCAGTATTAAATTTAGATCCCTCCCTCCAATATTATAGAATAATATTTTTTCTTTATAAACGTCCTTTTTAAAACTCAAAAATGTTATTTAAACTATTACATTTTCTTTTTGTTAACACAGATATTATCAAATACTTTAATAACTTTGCATACTTCAAGAGTTACTTTGGAGATGTGGTTGTATGGACGCTACTTATTATCATATTTGGTGGTCGTGCAGAGAGATAAAAGAATTTTGGATTAAGATATGGTGGAATATCCAGAGAATTTTTAGAAGGAGGGTAAAATTTACTCCGCAGTTATTTTTGTTGGGTATAGTTACTGATTGTGATACAAAGGAGGTTATATTGATGTTAAATTTGATTACAGCCGCGAGGCTGTTAGTGGGACAATATTGGAAGAAGGAATCTTTGCCTACATTGCAGGAATGGTTTCTTAAAGTGTCTTATTTGGCGGAAATGGCAAAGATTTCGGCTTTTTTAAAGGAACAAACGCAAGAGAAATTTCTTGCTGTTTGGGATAAATGGATAAAATTTATACAATTTAAATTGGATATAAAAAAATATTATATAGCTTTTTCATAATTTTTATTTTTATATATACACATATATATCTTAATGTTATATTTTCTTTTTTTTTCATAATTATAATTTTTAACTGTTTTTTAATTAAGCCTATATTCTGCTCTGGGAAGTTCAGGGGGGGGAAGGGGGGGTGTTTGGGTGGGGGTTGGGGAAGGGGGGTTTTGTTGTGTAATGTTTAGTTTTTTCTTTGTATATGTTGTTTTTTGTTTTTGTATTGTTGTGTTCTTTTTGTAAAACTTATAAAACTTTTTAATAAAAAAAAGAGTTACTTAAGATATATGTTAAGTTATTAATATATATTAAGTCATATATATGTTTTCTGAGGTTTTTGCGGGTGTTTTTATGTAGGTCTTTGATTATTCGGATTTTCTCCCGCGTAAAATTGGAAGTGTCTTGGCAATGTTTCAATGAAGTCCCATTCGTCATCTTCAGGCTGGTGTTTTCGGCTTCGTGCTTCTAGGAGCACGAAGCCAAAAACACCAGCCTGAAGATGACGAATGGGATTCTCTGGATAGTTTATCAAGTAGTTATAAGCCTCCCTTTTTGCTTGTAAAGTTGCCTCAGTAGTCTTTGACCAAAGAGGGAGTCAAGATGGAGGAGCAAATTATTAGAGATATATTTGAAAATTCTCTAAATAAAATCCACCAGTTCATTGATCAGCTGTGCTCATCAAGGATGAGCATAGCTGAGCAATGAACTGGTGGATTTTATAACTGGTGTTATATATATATAACTGTTTCGCAGTTGCGACTTGAGCCTGCTTAACGCCCCTAGTTGGGGGCTGCAAGGCAAGAGATTGTAAAAAGTAAAACTGCAGTATAGCAGTTAAAAAATGTCAAGGTGTAATCAATTAGACATCTGTCTGAAAAACTTCCTGCATATACTCCCTTGACTCAGCTGGCAAAGAGGGAGGAGAGCCTGTGGCTTGGTGGTTAAATCACTGCCTAGTATGTAAACTGACCAGGTTCGAATCCCATAAAGGGTGTGGCCAACTGACGAGAGCAGAATGAGCTTGAAATGGCCATCTTAGTCTCCCAATTTAATTCTTTAATTGTTTGTTAGAAAAAGAAATTTGTAAATATATATATCACAAAATAAATTAATTACAATCACCAGGAAAATCCAAGCAGGAAATTTTTTAATAAAAACCAAGCTTTCATCGGTAACTTCCAACATCGTCAGGGTTAGAGCTAGTTAGTGGGAAAAGCTTATATAAGATTACCAAGCGTTTGCATCTGGCTTCTGGACCGCGTCATCAGTCCCAGCTGATTAGATTGTGTCCTAAAGGTATATTTGACACCAGCATCCAGCCCTCTCCTATTTCTCCTTGTACACTCCCATTCACTCCCTCGTCACTGATTCTTGGGTTGAGTGGGATCCTTCCCCCGCATTATATATATTATAATGTGACATGATAGTAGTATTTATATTTATATAAAGCTGCAAGTTTGTCTAAGCATCAATATGACTTCATTTGGACACCTGCGCAATTCCCTGACACTCCCTTTCCTACCCTTTGAGCATAAGAACCTGAATTCCACATAGACTCCTCCAGAGGGCGCACGCTAACAAGCCCTTCCCTAATGGGCCACTGGAGAGCTAAAGTCACGGCTACTTTTTCAGAGGAGGCTGAGAAGGAAGTGACGGCTGTGAACCTTGCAACTCTAGGACGCCATATTCTCTCTCTTTAACCCCTGGAGCTCCGCGGGAGGCGAAGAGTTGGCGGGAGAGCCTCGCGGGGGAAAAGATTCACACCTGTCTTAGGTGGGGAGGTGAGCTCTTCCCGTGCTAAGGGAGGAGGGGGAGACCCGTGCCCAGCTCTCCTCTGGGCCCGGTTCCGGGTCCCATGTTCCCCAGCCGCCCTCTCCATGCAGGGGGAAGCGGAGCTGTAGAGAAGCAGCAAAAGAACCGGGGATCCCGGGAAGGCGGCGGGGTTCCTGGGTTGCCTTCCCGCCCCGTATCCGGGGAAGAAGAGCCCGAGTGGGGGGAGTGAGAGGAGGGCCGTCCTGGCGGAGGTCCAGCAGAAGAGGAGAGAAGCTGAGCGTGGAAGCAGGATTGCGTGAACTTGTTTGCATGTCCCCAGAAGAAGGGAAAGGGAGCATCCACAGCCAGGGTCATTTCCTGGCATTTCATTGGCAGGTTGTGTAAATCCTTCTTGGAGGGGGGATGCAGAGGGCAGGTTTTTAAAAGGAAGCTTTTTCTTGTGACCAAGAGAAATATAAAGTGCTCCAAAATGCACGCCCCCCCCTCCCGAAAGAACCCTATCTGCTGAATGCCATTGCAATCATTGACCAGCTCAGAAAAATCTTTCCTTCCATGAGGATGACTGTTGTTCGGTGGTTAAATCCTCCACTTTCTAAGTCTTGAAAGTCATTTTCTTTTTCCATCTCAGGTACACAAATTGGAAGTGATTTCTACATCTTTGCATATACACAAGATTATTTCTTAGCTAAAGGCAGGCGGCAACAGAATTTCAAGAAGCAGACTTATGAATGAAATGTCTTTAGGAGATCCAGAAGATTTCTTGTACCCATTTGGAGTTGCCTTACAGGACAGAGGCAGGATGGAGACAGAACTTTTAGCAAGTGAAGCGACTGGAAAAAATCTTTCGGTTGTTCAGCCTGGCAGCTGTGGAGAGATCTGGGCAAGAAGCGGGCAGAAGATCCCGGAGAAGGAACCCATCCTCCATTCAGAAGTTCAGCCCTGCAGCTTCAGGAGCATCCAATACCAGGAGGCTGAGGGCCCCCGAGGACTTTGCAGCCGACTCCATGACATTTGTAGGCGATGGCTGAGACCAGAAAAGCACACCAAAATGCAGATGCTTGATCTGGTTGTTCTGGAGCAGCTGCTGATCCTTCTGCCCCCCCTCCCCCCAGATGGAGAGCTCAGTGCGGAGACCAGCTCCCAGGCGGTGGCTCTGTTGGAAGCCTTTGTTTTGAGTCAGGTGGAGGAACAAAAGGAGCAGATCAAGTCCCAGGTGGGAACCCAAAAGGGGAAATAAAGAATGTGTTTGAATTCTTCACCCCTCCCTCTGAGATTTCTCTGGCATTTAAATTAAATGGAGACCTTTTCCTAATTCTTGTAGGACATTGCTCCATTTGTGTCTTATTCAGCCTCACTGATGGATATTGGGGATTTTCAGGTTTGCATTCAGAGAACAAGAATCAACTTAATGTTCTGGAGCAGTCCCCAACCTTTTGGGCACCAGGGACCAGTTCCGTGGTTTTTCCGCGGACCAGAGGGGGCATGGTCTTGTGGGCTGCCTGCATCCCATGAATGGGGCTTTGTTTGTGCGGACCGGTTACTGACATGCCGTGGCCCGGTACTGGTCCACAGACCGGCGGTTGGGGACCCCTGTTCTGGAGTGTTCATTAAATCATTGAACTTACAACTCAAGTAAGAGAAGCGTAATAAAAAATAAAGCTATCGTGGTGGGAGCATCTGTTAAGTAGAGAGTGATCATTTTAGAAATTCCTTGACATGTAATTGTGCCAGACTGCTCAATAATAACTGAAATAATCACATTAGCACAATACCATTTCAAGAAGGCTTTTCATTAAGGTTTTTAATGAAATGCTAAATGGACTGGAGTCCCTGAGAAGTGGCCTTTCAAGGGCCATCTGCCAGTTTATTCTCTCCAGATGCAGAAAGTCTAGATAGACAGACAGATGGACAGATAGATCAATCCAGAAGGAAGCTGGGGTTCCTTTCACTGAATGGCACTGAAAATGTATATCTGTGCTTGCAATGATTTAAACAATAAAACAGATCTTGTAAATTACCCTGGTCTTATTCTGTTGTGTTTTTCCTTGTTCAGGAGGGCCATGTGTCCTTTGAAGAGGTGACTGTATATTTCTCTGAGGAGGAGTGGTCTCGACTGGATCCTGACCAAAAAACGCTGCATTGGGAAGTCATGGTGGAAAATCATAGGAATGTGGCCTCTCTGGGTAAGGCCTTGCTACTGTCTACCCAGAATATTTGGGAAGACGTTCTGTAATTAGATGATATCAGCTGTGTCTTTTTCATTATAATTGTATCAAATTTATAGGACCAAAAACAATACAAGTTTTGAAGAGGAAATGAAGGTAGAGTAAGGTGATAAATGAATTTTTAAAAAAGTATAATAAAATGCAAAAAGGAAACAGAAGCACAGAAAAAGTAAGAAATGTTAAAATTTAGCTTCTTTCTCTAAGTTTACATAATAGTTTTCTCTTACATAATGGTTCCTTTCCAATCTTCAAACATAGATCAGAAGTTCATTTTTTTCTTTTTTTTAGCAAGAAGTCCATCAGGGGTTTCCAATCATTAATCAATATACGGTGTTTCCTCTAATCAAAGAGATCATTTAGTCATCTTTGATAATTCTGTCATCTCCATCAACCATCCACCATTGTAGTTATAGTAGAGTCCTTCCAGCTTTGGCATTATAATAGTCTCACTGAAGTTATCATATGAAGTCAGAAGCAATCTTCTATGGCTGTTTTCCAGCTGCCTGTTCGTTAGCACTAACAAAGTGTTCTGATTTCAGTTGGATATTTATCTTTAAAGTTCTCTGTATTTGAATCCAAAATTTTCTGCCTTTTTTACCTGTCCACCAAAACGTGACAGTCTTGATGTTGCCCACATTTACAGTATAAGTGTCAGGTACCTTTATACACTTCTGAAATTTTTTGTATTACATCAGTTTATAAAAGTTGCCTTTTAGGTTGTAACATAATGTAAATTTCACTCCTTTCAACCACATATTTTGTTACATCTGTATATTTTGAAAAACTTCTTTGTCGATTTTATCATACATTCTTTAACTGTTTATAGGTTTTAGCAATTACATGTTCATCCTTTCTACACAACCAAGATTCAAATTCTGTCTTAGGTTGTTGAATACCATAGGTCCTTTTATCTACCTTGAATCTTTCTGATGACAGTTTGAAAACCAGCGAAAACTATATCCTTCTGCCATCAATTGCTCTCTTGATTTCATTTGATATCTCCCTTGCTCAAGTTCTAATGGCTCTTGACATGTTATTCATTATCTTTGCTGACTGCTTCTCTTCTGTAAAATGCTTATTATGTTGAGAGCAGTAATGGCACAGTCTGGATTTGCATCTGTTCCATATTCTCAATATGGCACTTCTAAGATCATTGTTTTAAAAATCAACATTACCCAACACCCATGCCATCCAAATCTTAGCTCATGCTTTTTAAATTCTAAAATTCTTTTATTGCTCAGCAACCCACATTCTTTCATCGAAAGCACACACCAGGTCTTCTTTCCTTTGCATCTTGGAGAATTTGAGAATTTGGCTTTTTTCCTTGCCATAAAAATCTATGTCTATTATTCTGCCACTGTTTAATCTTTTGGCTTCCTTGGGCTGCATTAAGTGAAGAGAAATTGTCTTGGTCCACCTATAAAATATATAATTAATGTATATAAATAACAAACTTTTTAAAAAATATTTTTATATCTTATGGGCCGCATTACTAGCTCTCCACGCCCACATGTGGCCTGCGAGGTGGAAGTTGGACCTATCTGGTTTAAATGACACATCAGTTGTCTAAAAAGGTATTTGAAACAGAAATATTATTCTAGGCCAACATTAATTTTTATCATGGAAATTCTTTCTAACAATGACGTACGCATTTTCTCCTAGCTTAACATATCCCTCTTTTACTCCACGTTTTAAAAAAATTGTTTTGAAATAACACACAGTTCATGGGGAGAGGGTCCTTGATGCTCTCTGAGCTTGGTTGTTTTCTTGCAGATGTTTCATTATCCATACTAGATAACATCATCAGCACTAGTATTACAACACCGAGGTATAAATATTCTCCTTTATCAGTTCATATTGGTCATAATAATACTGAACTTGCTGATTTTAATTTCTCAGTTTTAAAACCAATTTTTCCCATCAATTTTATTTCATCTTCCATTTTTGTCTTTTTTGTTAACAGCATCTTTAAATTAAAGCTCATTAAAATGCCAAATTCCTTAAATTTTTCCATATTGGTATTTCTATTCCCTCAAGAGGATCTCCCAAATTCAACACGCAGCATGAAAAAAAGGGCATCCTTATGTTTTGTTTTTGTGTTTTACAAGGATTGTTAAATTTTGTGCTTTATGCAAAGATTAGATCGATTTTATCCATTTAAGGAAATTTTCTTCAAAGGTCATGTCTTCCAAAAATTTAAATCAACACAGTCCAGTTCAAATTCTCAAACGCCTTCGGCGCATCTAAGAAGATTGGTGCAGCTTGTTTTTAATTATGTTCAAACTTCCTGCAATTTGAACTTTCCCCCCTAACTTATTATCATTTTTATTTCTCCTTTCTTTGAAGATAATAATGGACAAGAAAATGAAAATTCCCAAGAACCATTCCGAGGGATGACTCGTGGAGACAGACTGGAGAAGCCTGCAAATCAAATGGTAGTAGAGAGACATGAGAGAAACCAGTCAAATAATTGGAATCGGGAAAGTTCTTCCATTGATGCTCCAATGCAGGACTTTCTTGCCCAACAAGGAAAAATAAAGAAAAAATGCATTACGAAAAACGTAAAACTGTTCAAAGACAAATTAGATGTGAATGAACACGATCCAACCCAAACCAAAGGAGAAAGTAAAATATGCAGAGGCAATGGAAAAAAATTGACTCTTTCTTGTGAAAAGGAGTCCTTTACATCTCAGAAAAGGATACATGTAGGAGAGAAGCCGTATACATGTTTGGAATGTGGAAAGAGCTTCAGAAGAAGCAGTCATCTTACTTCCCATAACTGGATCCACACAGGGGAGAGGCCATATAACTGTATGCAGTGTGGAAAGGGCTTCAGTGAAAGGAGTTCTTTTATTTCCCATAAAAGGATCCACACAGGGGAGAAGCCATATAAATGCCCTGAATGTGGAAAGGGCTTTATTAAGAGCAGTCATCTTACCTCCCATAAAAGAGTCCACACAGAGGAGAAGCCGTATAAGTGCACAGAGTGTGGAAAGAGTTTCAGAGAGAGCGGTTCCCTTACATGTCATAAAAGGATCCACACAGGAGAGAAGCCATATCAATGCATGGAGTGTGGGAAGAGCTTTATTCAGAGCAGTCAACTTACTTCGCATAAAAGGAAACACACAGGGGAGAAGCCATATCAGTGCATGGAGTGTGGGAAGAGCTTTACTAAGAACAGTAGTCTTACTTCCCATAAAAGGATCCACACAGGGGTGAAGCCATATAAATGCCCTGAATGTGGAAAGGGCTTTATTAAGAGCAGTCATCTTACCTCCCATAAACGAATCCATACAGAGGAGAAGCCGTATAAGTGCACAGAGTGTGGAAAGAGTTTCAGAGAGAACCGTTCCCTTACATGTCATAAAAGGATCCACACAGGAGAGAAGCCATATCAATGCATCGAGTGTGGCAAGACCTTTATTCAGAACAGTAGTCTTACTTCCCATAAAAGGATCCATACAGGAGAGAAGCCCTATAAATGCATGGAGTGTGGAAAGAGCTTCACTTTTAGTCATTCTCTTACTATGCATTACTGGATCCATACAGGGGAGAAGCCATATAAGTGCACAAAGTGTGGAAAGAGCTTCCGTGGAAATTCGTCTCTTACTGTTCATAAAAGGATCCACACAGGAGAGAGGCCCTATAAATGCATTGAATGTGGAAAGAGCTTCCCTAATAGCGGTGACTTTGTTTTCCATAAAAAGATCCACACGGGGGAGAAGCCACATAAATGCATGGAGTGTGGGAAGAGCTTTATTAAGAACTCCCAACTTATTTACCATAGTAGGATACATACCGGGGAGAAGCCTTTTAAATGCATGGAATGTGGAAAGAGTTTTTCTATGAACAGTTATCTTAATACCCATAAAAAGATCCACATAGGGGAGAAGCCTTATAAGTGTATGCTGTGTGGAAAATGTTTTATGACAAGCAGTAATTTTAACTCTCATAAAAGGATCCACAAACTGTAGAAGCCATACAAGTCTGTGAAATATGGGAAAATTTCAAGAGAACCAATGACCGAATCTTCCATATACGGGTACATTTGGGTGAGAATCTGTTTCATGTTCCATATACATGTTTAATGTTTAAATGTTCGGTTTAGTTTTTGAAATATATGCATTTCCTAATTACATTTACTGAATTAGGAAAGGGTTTTTTTCAGTCTTACCTTCACAATGTGAAGCCCAAGAGAGATGAATTTACTAATGGAAACCAAATTCTAGGCATGTGATGTTTCAATTATGAACCGTGGATTTTTGTAGCTACTGTCATTTGAAGGTCACCAATGCCATTTCAGATAAATAAGGGAACATATTTTTTTCTTCATGTTTATCCCCTTTTGGATTGGATCATAATAAAGCACAAATCCCCAATAAAATTTTAATTTTAATTTTTGAGAGCAAGCATAGGGTTTATTTAGCAAAATATCATTCCACGCATGCTATGGGAAAGGCTTAATTCAGGAAAGACTTGCAAAAGTTATAGCTAAATATAAATGACCAAAGTAAGTGTGATACTAAAGAAGATATTTTATGAATAGAGCCGTTTTAGTAGCAATTGGTTTGCTGTTAAACTTTGTATAGCTGTCAGTAGAAATTATATAATGAATTGTAAGATGTTGAAATGGGAAATGTCTAAATGACAAGAATGTTCAAAAATTTAACATCTGGTGACAGTGCAACATCAGATCCTCTAACTCAGGGGTGTCAAACTGCTGGCCCACGGCCCGGACGCGTCACACGGAAGCCTCGCCCACCCCATTGCCGGCAATGGGAAAACCGTCTCGATACATCACATGACATCAAGTGACGTCGCAAGTTTGACATGTCTGCTCTAACTTATACTTAATGGTACAAAAACCCCACTGGATTTGCAATTTCCAGCTCAGTCTATTCAGTTTGGGCAAGGGACTCTTCTGAGAATTATTAAGTATAAAGCAGGAAAATTATTTTTCTAGGAGGGATGTGATCAGGCAGATATTTAATAGGTGTTGCTTCCACAAGAAGCGGAAGGAGCTGCATTTCCCTGATGCATCTCTTCAAGACTAAATTTCTGAAATCTTTCTTCCTCTATAACAGAAATTAGAATGGTAATTTCCTCTGAAGTGTGAGGATAGTAAAAAAATAATCCAACTTTTCAATCCACGGTGCAAAACATCTTAGTAAACCAATATGAATGCAGAAGCAGGGAACTTTTTTCACTCAGGATGTGAGAGATTAATCACATAGATAATAATTCAAGCATGAAGAAAGTTTTAGAATGAAGTTTTCCTCTCTCACAAAAAGGAGCCAGAATGATAAGAAGCACTTGAAATGCATATGCAAAAGACTGCCCAAGAATTAGACCATATTTTACTTTTCTTTGGTGTTACAATGGCAAGACACAAATTGTGTTTCCCAGAGAAGCTCCTGGTCCTCGTCTTCTGACTGCCTGGCTTTTTCTGAGAGGATTTGGGCCCCTTTTGAGACCTTCTCAGGGCAGCTGTTCTTGAGGGAAGTGAGTTTAAATCCACCAGGGAGATCTTTTTCTCCACAGAGGGTTCCTGGACGATGGAGAAACCGAAGCCTTTCCTCCTACCTTTCCTCCTACTCCCATGCCCATCATCCTTTCCCTCTCCCTCCCCTCAGAAGCTCATTCTCTTTCCCGCCCGTTCGGAGAATCCTGGCATCTCGGGCAGAGTCCACCAGGTGGCTCTGTCAGCCTAAGGAGAAAACAGAGCATGCGCAGGACACTTCAGCCAGAGTTGTTGCCCGGGGCGTCCGTGGGAAGAGGCTGTTCTCTCTGTTCTCCTCCCTCCGGTGAGAGGCTTTGTGGTAGGCTTAGAGGCTGCGTGGAATTCTTGCGGAGACGCGGGTCCTGACGAGACTCCTGAGTTCCGTGAGTGGCGGCTCTGCCCATGCAAAGGGCTCCCGCGGTGGAAGGGAGCGTGGAGACGGGCGAAGTCTTCCCCCGGAGTGGGAGTCCGCAGTCAGACAACACAGTTATTATAATATAAAGAAGACCTCAATCATTCCTGTACACTCCCTTATTCCCTCCTTCAGAACATCACATTAGCGTACATGAAATTTGCCCCTGAGGAAAACACTGAGTACAAAAGCAAGTTAGCAATACTTAGGCAAGGCTACACAATTTGTTTCTTTTTCTGGTTTTAGTGCACAAAGCCAAAAACACCAGCCTGAAGATGACGAATGGGACTTCGTGGAAACATCACCAAGACACTTCCAATTTTCCGCAGGAGAAAACCCAAATAACCAAAGACCTACAGATATATATATCTGTAGGTATATTTGCATCCGGCTTCTGGCTGTGTCATCAGTCCCAGCTGATTAGATTGTATCCTAAATGTATCTTTGACACCAGCATCCAGCCCTCTCCTATTCCTCCTTTGTACACTCCCATTCACTCCCTTGTCACTGATTCTTGGGTTGAGTGGGATCCTTCCCCCGCATTATATATATTATAATGTGACATGATAGCAGTATTTATATTTATATGAAGCTGCAAGTTTGTCTAAGCATCTATATGACTTCACTTGGACACGTGCGCAATTCCCTGACACTCCCTTTCCTACCCTTTGAGCATAAGAACCTGAATTCCACATAGACTCCTCTAGAGGGCGCGCTCTAACAAGCCCTTCCCCAATGGGCCACTGGAGGGCGAAAGTCACGGCTACTTTTCCAGAGGAAGCTGCGAAGGAAGTGACGGCACTGAACCTTGCCACTCTAGGATGCCATACTCTCTCTCCTTAACCCCTGGAGCTCCGCGGGAGACGAAGAGTTGGCGGGAGAGTCTCGCGGGGGAAGAGATTCACACTTGTCTTAGGTGGGGAGGTGGGCTCTTCCCGTGCTAAGGGAGGAGGAGGAGCTCTCCTCTGGGTCCGGTCCCGGGTCCCATGTTCCCCAGCCGCCCTCTCCATGCAGGGGGAAGCGGAGCTACAGAGCAGCAGCAGAAGAACCGGGGATCCCGGGAAGGCGGCGGGAATCCTGAGTTGCCTTCCCGTCCCGTATCCGGGGAAGAAGAGCCCGAGTGGGGGGAGGGGGAGGAGGGCCGTCCTGGCGGAGGTCCAGCAGAAGAGGAGAGAAGCTGGGCGTGGAAGCAGGATTGTGTGAACTTGCTTGCGTGTCCCCAGAAGAAGGGAAAGGGAGCATCCACAGCCAGGGTCATTTCCTGGCATTTCATTGGCAGGTTGTGTAAATCTTTCTTGGAGGGGGATGCGGAGGGCAGGTTTTTAAAAGGAAGCTTTTTCTTGTGACCAAGAGAAATATAAAGTGCTCCAAAATGCACGCCCCCCCCTCCCGAAAGAACGCTATCTGCTGAATGCCATTGCAATCATTGACCAGCTCAGAAAAACCTTTCCTTCTATGGGGATGACTGTTGTTCGGTGGTTAAATCCTCCACTTTCTAAATCTTGAAACTCATTTTCTTTTTCCATCTCAGGTACACAAATTGGAAGTGATTTCTACATCTTTGCATATACACAAGATTATTTCTTAGCTAAAGGCTGGCGGCAACAGAATTTCAAGAAGCAGACTTATGAATGAAATGTCTTTAGGAGATCCAGAAGATTCCTTGTACCCATCTGGAGTTGCCTTACAGGACAGAGACAGGATGGAGACAGAACTTTTAGCAAGTGAAGCGACTGGAAAAAATCCTTCGACTGGAAAAAATCCTTCAGTTGTTCAGCCCTGCAGCTTCAGGAGCATCCAATACCAGGAGGCTGAGGGCCCCCGAGGACTTTGCAGCCGACTCCATGACATTTGTAGGCGATGGCTGAGACCAGAAAAGCACACCAAAATGCAGATGCTTGATCTGGTTGTTCTGGAGCAGCTGCTGATCCTTCTGCCCCCGGAGATGGAGAGCTGGGTGCGGGAGTGTGAAGCAAAGACCAGCTCCCAGGCGGTGGCTCTGTTGGAAGCCTTTGTTTTGAGTCAGGTGGAGGAACAAAAGGAGCACATCAAGTCGCAGGTGGGAGCCCAAAAGGGGAAATAAAGAATGTGTTTGAATTCTTCACCTCTTCCTCTGATACCTCTCTGGCATTTAAATTAAATGGAGACCTTTTCCTAATTCTTGTAGGACATTGCTCCATTTGTGTCTTATTCAGCCTCACTGATGGATATTGGGGATTTTCAGGTTTGCATTCAGAGAACAAGAATCAACTTAATGTTCTGGAGCAGTCCCCAACCTTTTGGGCACCAGGGACCAGTTCCGTGGTTTTTCCGCGGACCAGAGGGGGCATGGTTTTGTGGGCTGCCTGCATCCCATGAATGCGGCTTTGTTTGTGCGGACCGGTTACTGACATGCCGTGGCCCGGTACTGGTCCACAGACCGGCGGTTGGGGACCCCTGTTCTGGAGTGTTCATTAAATCTTTTTTTTCTCTCTCCTTTCTCCTATTTCAAGTCTGTTGTGAAGATCATAGGTCCCGAGGGAAGACGGAATCCATCAAATCCTCTTCAGGAGATGATTTGGAGGAGGATCTCCCAGGAAGAACCAAGTCAGGATACTTCAGGAGGTAATTGAAGGTTCTCTCATTCCCTAGAGAAATCCCAGCTGACTCATTTTCTCTTCCATCTTCTCTTCTGTAGAATATCTAGTCCTATTTTGTTAATTTTGGATGTTAAAATTCTGTCTCCCATGCAGTGAAAAATAGAATGAAGATAACGCCTGCTTCTTATGCTGGAACTGAAACAATCATTGAACTTACAACTCAAGTAAGAGAAGCGTAATAAAAAATAAAGCTATCGTGGTGGGAGCATCTGTTAAGTAGAGAGTGATCATTTTAGAAATTCCTTGACATGCAATTGTGCCAGACTGCTCATTAATAACTGGAATAATCACATTAGCACAATACCATTTCAAGAAGGCTTTTCATTATGGTTTTTAATGAAATGCTAAATGGACTGGAGTCCCTGAGAAGTGGCCTTTCCAAGGCCCATCTGCCAGTTTATTCTCTCCAGATGCAGAAAGTCTAGATAGACAGACAGATGGACAGATAGATCAATCCGGAAGGAAGCTGGGGTTCCTTTCACTGAATGGCACTGAAAATGTATATCTGTGCTTGCAATGATTTAAACAATAAAACAGATCTTGTAAATTACCCTGGTCTTATTCTGTTGTGTTTTTCCTTGTTCAGG